GCCCAGGTTGAGGTTTAGCTGCGCGAGGGAGCGGGACTCGGCCACCCCGCGGCAGACGTGCCCGAAGTCCCGCTCGGAGAGCTGGCAGCCCCGCAGCGACAGCAGCCGCACCGAGTTCTCCCGCAGGCTCTCGCAGATGTCCCGGATCTCCGCCCCCGACAGCGTCTCCCCGGAGATCTGGATAGACCCCGGCAGCATCTTCCCCCGGCTCGGAGCGCCGCTGATCCCGGGGCCGTGCCGGGGGAGAGCCGCGCTGCGCGCTGCCGGCCGGGGCGGGCGCCGCCGCCGCTGCTGCCGCCGCCGCTGCCGGGCAATCCCGGCCCGGCCCACCGCGGCCCCGGGGGCGGCACCGCGCTGCCTCACCGGCGGCCGCCGGGCCGCCCCGCTCCGCCCGGCGGGGCGGCGGGACCCAGAGCAGCCATCGGCAGGGGCCGGTCCGCACCGGGGCGCGGGGTCGCGCCGCCCCGCAGAGCCGGGCGGGGGCCGGGCAGCCCCGCGGGTCTCCGCCCCGCTCCGCCCGCACCTGCCGGGCCGCCCCGCCTTCCCCCGGCCGCCGCTTCGAGCCCTCCTCCCCGCACGGCCAGCGCCTCCTCGCGGAACGGAGCAGGCGTGGAGGGGGGTCTGGCATCCCTCATCCTAGCCCGGCATCCCTCATCCCTCGCCGATGCCATTCAAAGCCCGCGAGGGCGACGGCAGCGCCCGCTGGCACCTGCCCGCTGCCCTGAGGAGATGGCGGGGCCAGGGCCGGCCGAGCTGGGTCCCAGACATTGGGGGTGCCGGAGGGGAAGAAGGGAGGGTGGAAGAAGCATCTGGGAAAGGCTCTCCATGCCAGCACCACTCCCACCTAGGGAAAGGAGCCCAAGCCATTGGGCCATGGCGCACTCTGGGTGCTTGGTCCAAGGCGCTGTGGTGTTCTATGGCTTCAGTGGCGTTTAATACTTAGACCTACTGAACCTGAATCCTCGACCCACGACTTAGTGGCAAGGTCAGTCTAATCTCCTCCTCATAGCCCAGAGCTTGCAAGAGCCAATGTCTAGAGGCAGCTGCTTAGAGGTGAAAGTTGGAGGGTTGGGGAAGGGCCACAGAATTCCTTATCCCTGAGCACACAGCCCGTGCCCTCAGCCTGACCTGAGGTAGCAGGGCACACCCCAGCTCCTGCTAATTCACAGGTATGGATCACAGGGATTTGTCCCCTCTCTCCCCGTTGAGTAATCCTGTACTTGGAGAGAAATAGGAAGCAGGGCCCCTACGTTTTCAACTCCACTGAGCCGAAAAAGGAAGGCAGTGATGTGGAAATTAGGTTAAACCGCCTAAGTAGGCAGCTTTCTGCACGTAACTAATCTGGCTGCTGCATATAGCAGTGCTCAAGTGAATTCCAGCCCAGTGGGTAACACTGGGACTAAACCAGGCTCCCCTGCTTGGTTTGCAGGCCAGGGCCCAGGAGATGGATGGAAAGTGAAGAGAAAAATAGAGTGTGGAGGGGGATATGGAACACTTCTACATTGAAACAGAAGAGCAGATCACCTGAGCTGAGGATGCAGTTAAGTCCTGAATGAGGTAAGGGGAGCAGAAGCTTTAAGACTTTGGCTTAAACTCCCAATGTGGGTATCACCACACCGTTTGAGTAATCTATCTCTGTTCTCTAGAGTACCTACACATCCCTCTTTCTTTCCCTGTTGCACAGAGATGCATGACCTTGATACTGTTCCCGCAAGATACACCAAGAACCGACCACTGACCTTGCAACTCATCTGTGCTGCAATATGAGCAGCAGCTGCAAGCATCCAGCTGTTGTACAGCTGTGGTATTGTGGCTTTCAGAAAAGGAGCAGCTAATCTCTAAGGTCACATTAAAAGACCCAGGTGAGAATGGGACCCTACCTATTGCAGGATGGTGAAGGACAAAAGACTGGATTTCACAGTTATAAGCAGGGGGTGGCCAAGAAAATCCCAGCTGCTGCTACTGCATGCAGGTCAGCTAGAAGGCTGCACTCAGACTCATCTCTCAACTACCTCCAGGCACTACCCAACCTATGCTTTTTTAACAGGCTATTATTAGCGAGGTGCTTGGAGGAGAGCCCTTGGGACATGTCCCATTTCCATTGACAGCAGCAGTCCGGAAACACTGATGAAGACGCCCTAGTGCCTTTTCACTGCCTGTTGTCAGGAGCCAGAGCACACTGAGGAGACAAGTATCCCACCTACGTTATGCTCAATACATTGAAAAAAGTGACACAGGAGCTAAGGGTCCAAAGCTTTGGCTCACCAAACGTAATGCAGGGCCATGCAGAGGGGACTTTGGCAATGCTATTTTGTGTAGAACTAGGTATTTCTTCCCTGTCATGTGCAGTTACCCAACAGGTATGAGGAAGGTCATTTATTGTTTACCTACTGGGGCAGAAAAAGTGATGTAATTGAGTCAACACATAAATGGAGAAAAACAGTGCATGAACAGTAACTATAGTGAGAGTAGACATAGGAAACAAATGGGAGAAGGAACAGCCTACATGTAACCCAAAATCACAGGTGACCATTAGTGCAACAAGGATAGATTGTAAGAGTTGGACTCTCAAGTACTGCATAGGAGAGGAGGAGGTCATAGATGCTTTAATATTAATTTTCAGCTTTAATATACAGCTTTCTCTTTCTAATCTAACAGCTTTATATGTTTGTTCCATATTTAATAAAGAGGGGCTTACACAGAGCTGTCTTTACTCAAAAGGGGGAAATGATGAGTGGGTTATTTCAGATTTGCTGCAAGGGAGAAAATTATTTGAGATTTGCTGCAAGAGCTGTGGCAAGAAAAACAAAGGCAGAGATAGTGTTGCATGATAGGGTTGTAAGGTTTGTGCTGATAACAAGAGGACTTGAGTAAGCATTGAGATGCCCTCCCACAAGGACTTCATTAAGCCTGCGTGCTCAGCATGCTCCCTGGAACTGCAGCATGCATGCATTTCCCTGAAAAAACGTGTCCTTTTCTGTCAGTGAAAGGCAATGCTGAAGCTCTCAGCCGAGTACTGAATTTCTGGCAGTAAAGAACAGTTCAGCTTCCAGCTGCTGCTGCATAGAGAATTAATCAGGGCTGAAGAACTGGAGCAGAGCAAGCCCCACAGGTTCCAAGAGGGTGGTTGGTTGTCACCCTGATCATGTCCCCAGCTGACACAACACAGAAGCTGCTCGGGGGAAGTATGAGGAGTTTGCTCACTGCTCATCTCTGTGCTTTGAGTGAAAACATAGGGCACCCCTCTGGTTCAGCTGAGTGGCTCAGTGAAGGACGGAGCACAGCTGTAGATCAGCAATGGTACAAATTTGGTGCAGAATGATTTTTTTCTTCTCAGCTGATCTTACTCCAGTGACAGTTGTCTCTTTCTTTTTTCCTTCCCCCCTGCCAGTAGTTCCAGAGTTTGCACCAAGAGAAACAGATCCATTCTAGGCTTCCAGGGCAAGAACTTGAAATTAGAAACAAACCTCCCATGGAGATATAAAGGGGGAAATACCAGAAGCAGCATTACAAATTAACACTTCCATTTTGTCAAGTTTTAAAGTAATAGAAATTCTAGGAGCTTAAAGTGGTTCAATTGGTCCAAAAAAACCCCATGGAGACTACTAGCTAAAATAATTAACAATTCCTCCAAGTAGCTTGCTCCAAGTCCTGTTCTTCAGCCAAAATGTTTCCCAAGGAAGGGGGTAAGGAGGGGAGAAAAGAGTGAGGGAACCTGTCTGTTACACATGAGATTCTTAGCAGAGAAGCCTTTTGCTCTTGAAAGGGGAACGAATTATGAATGTGGGAATAAGCAAATAGTGGAAAGTAGGTCTGTGACTGAAAATAATCAAGTCCTGTCCAGTGACCTTTTTTTCAACTGAAGCAGATGACCAATCTGATTACAGTAGCTGGCACAATCTTCTTCTCTTTCATTGCACCTTGGCACTAGTCTGAATGCCACTACAGCTGCATCCTCTCCCATTTAACATAAACAAAGTGCAGTTCTGACACACTGCCTTGTGCACTTATGGGCACACCAAAGAAGGGTAATATCCTGGGTTTTTTCTGCCTGAGTTTAAAAAGGAGCTTCTCTGAGGGGTGGCTCTTCTCCCCCAGACATCCAGAACTACAGGGAGAGAAAAGATGAAAGCCACTTACCAGCTAACAGCGTCTACTTGCAGACTAGTAGAAGGTCGAACAGTGAGGGAAGGCTGAACTACTCAGCTGTGATTTACTGCAGTGCAGGTAAGCCTAGACTGGGATGCTCTGCTTACCCATCCTTACTGGAGTTTTCCTGCATCAATACATTGGCGATTAATATGCCAACTCTATTTCCATTACACACTCTGCTATTTCTCCCTTTGTTAAATGGAAAGACCAGAGAAAAGCTTGCCAGAGGCCCTCAAGGCCCCAGGAGTCCTTTCAATAAAAACCTTAGACTCAGCTTGAAAAGCCAGGCAGTACACAGCAGAATGGGTGTCTGGGGAACAGAATGCCACTCCTGCCCAGAGGTGACATGTCCCATGGCTAGGAGACATGAGGGCACAAGCACCACAAGGGTGGGCTGACCTGGCCTCCTAATAGAAACATCCACTGAAGACCATGCGCAAACATGCTGCCCTGCATGTCCCACAGAGCAACACGGGCAGAAGGGTAGCAGGAAATGACAGTGAAAGCATGGAGACAGATACATTTCTGACATAGAGAGCAGAAGGGATGGTAAGGTGAGATAGCAGCTTGGACCAAGAGAGGGATCAATATGAACATGACAAGAAAGAGCATGTGGTTAAACACTGTGCTGTTCCTGAAAATCTCCAGAGAAAGTGAAGTTCCTGTGCCTTTTGAACTACTATGCCTTTGAAAAAGGTGCCCAAAACAAGACATGTGTCACAGAACATCTGAAGAAGGACAGCAGAAAATTGCAAAGAATCCTGCTTTCAGTCTAGAACAGGACAGATGAAGGCACAGAGACCCAAGTACCACACTCCCATTAGACAAGCAGGCTCAAGCATAAGACATCACTCAGCACCAACATCAAATTTAATTCTTCCCTCCTCAGGACAGGAACAGGGCAGATACTTCTGGAGTTACATCAGCAAGCGGAAAGAGGGCTAAGGAACAAACTCTGCTGGGAAATCCCAGCTAAACATGCAGGCAACAGAACCACTCTACTCAAGACAGCCCAGACCTGGATGGGGAAGAGTGTAGCTCTTCTGAGTCACTGAGGTGCGACTCACCTCCACTGAGTCCACTCAGCGGTCCAAAACTGTAATGCAGAAGACAGGTCCAGGAAAACAAAACCAAGCTGTCTTCTTGCTGTTCTGTCCTGTTCCTAAGAGGCAGCAGGTTACTGTGGCCCTATTCAGCCCCAAAAGTAGTGAAGGAAGCAAGTCCAAGTCTGTAAAACTACAGGGTCAATGCAATGGTTTTGGCTGTTGTGTTCAATACAGCATTGGAAACAACTGGAATGTCTCGGGCAACTCTCTGAAAGGGTGGCATGTTGGGTCCTTCCAATGTGTCCAGGATACCTGCAGAACAGAAAAAAGGGGAGAGGCAAGAGATAGTTCAGATGATAGCAGGTGGCACATTTCTTCTTGCTTTTCTCTCTGTCCAGGTAGTGGTTGAGGGTGGCAGGGCCCAGAACAGGTGAAGCACTTGCAGGCAGTGGGAGGAGACAACTAGCCCCAAAGACTGAACAGGAGTAAACACTTCCATCCAGAGATCACAGGGTACACATCAGAGCTTTTGCTTGGGACATGAAAATTGCATGTTCCCAAGAGGAACCCAGATCCTTTTGCTTTGAGGGTGTCAGATACAGTCCCCTGCCATTTGACTTGAATGCAGGTACTGCCAGAGATGTTTCTCTGCTGAGAGAAATTGATAAAATCCTTTTCCTACTTCATCCCAGCACAGATCTCACTCTTAGATCTTTCATCCTGAGATGCGCTTGCAGACTCACATTAGGAGCTGCAGCTGTGTGCAATGTGGAATTTTTGTCACGGCAACGCAAACAGATCAAGCTTGGCAGGAAATACACAGACCAATGCAAATGTCCTCAAGTCTCCGTCAATTACCCTCTTAAGACTGATTATCAGTTTTGGAGTGCCTTGAGGAAAATTGCTTGGAGTATACTTGGAGTATATTTTATTCTATTTCATCTGCCAAAAAGCTGCAGATCAGAACCTTTGCCATAAGAGCAGATTCAGGAGAAACAAGATTTGTATCTAAAAGAACTTCTAATGCTATGTATAACCCCTAATTATACAGATTTATCAGAAGTATCACAAACGGGTCTGACTGCCTAAACTCATAGAAGAGACTTGCAGAATTGCATATTTAGGGACCTGGAAACTCTCTAGAAATGGGGTGGGAGAAGAGTTTTGGTTTTGTTTCTTTTAAGGAGGGTGAAACTTTGTTAGGAGAAAACAAGAAGAGACATGGAAGGAGAACCTGAACATGCATGGCCTGGTTAACAGTACTAGCTGGGGAAGATACAGCTTCTGCTATCTGTGCTATACAAGACAAGATAAAAAACAAATGTTAAATAAAGAAGGAAAAACACTTATGACACATTTCCTGATCAGAGAAAACCAACCTGACTTCAACAGTATTCAGGAAGAGGCTGGACAGCTGCATGCAAGAACAGTCAGTGCTGTTACACTTCACTTGTGGGGAAATAGTAAGGGTCCTGCCTCACAAATTGAGTCTTAAGTGCTAAAACTCAGTGCACAGTAACTACCCCAATATTTACGTGCTGCCCTACTTGAACAGCTTCTTCTAAAAAATCTAGTGGCAGTCATTTTAGAGCTGGAAACCGGCACAGATGCCGAAAAGACAGCTTCAAACTGTCCATCCTTTCTCTCAGAGAGAGAAAAAACAAACTTTTATTCTCCCAGATCTAACAGGATGTCTTTGTGTCTCCCTTGCTTACCTTCTACCACCTTGTGATAAGCAAAGTGCAGATAGAGGAGGAAAAGCATATGCAGAGCAGCAAGAGTCCCACACAGGATGAGCCGCTGGGTATGTCCCACGGTGCGTGACACCAACACAGCAACCTGGGAAAGAGGAGGTGATCAGAGACAAGGCAGCTGCTACCTGCGCCTCTGGCACTGCAGTCAGGAACGCATGGAAGAACAGGTCAAGCGGTGACAATCTGCAGAAACGCTGCACTGAGTCTTTTCACCAACAAATTTAGAGTAATTTGACACCTTTCTGTGTAGGTGAACTTTGTCCAGTCTTGCCAAGAGTGCAGGATGCTCAGGCATGGCTCTCCACAGCAGCAAGGGCTGTAAGGGAGTAAATGAACCTCCTGCAGCTGTTTGCATAGGTGAGGCTATTAACCCGAGCAGCACCTCCATACACCAGTGGCCAAATTATACAGGAGCATAATCTTCTCCACAGCAGTTCGACTGGCTGTGAAATGAACCACCAGGTAAAGGAACAGAAAGCAAATAACACTTCCCTCCCTTTTTTTTTCCTCAGGAAAAGGACTCCAGGCTGCCTATCCCTTACCATTCGTAGTGTAGAGAGTCCACCAACAACCAACCAGAAGATATAGAAGAGGGAGTGGAAGTGGATGTTATAGGTGACAAAGAGAGTGATGCAGTGTCCAAAAAGACCGTAGCCCTGACAAAACAAAAATGTCCATGTTATAAGCACCAGTCCCACACAAAGGGCCATTGATCAAGAGCAGGAACAGCCTATTCCTGCAACACTTCACCATGGCAAAGCCTCACAAACCACTCATTCATTGCCAAACAGTCAACCAGAACGACAACTTTAACAGCAACTCACACACAGATCATTGGTCTGAAGGATTCACAGGCATGTCAGAGATTGCGACAACATGGGAAACAGAGGAAAGATCCTCTAATCCCAGAGAAATTGGAGTCTCCTGGCTTTTTACCACCAAGTTCTCAAATCAGAAAGTGCAAAGCAGGAGACATGCATGAAGGAAGTGCCTCTTTGTACTACTACTGTGCCTGGAATGGGGCAGGTCAGAAGAACATCCTGAAATTCCAGGCTGTCCCAGTGCAGCTTCCTGGGACCAGCAATTTACAAAGATTTTTCCTGTTCTTTGGGAAAAGCTTTCCTTTTCCCTTTGGGAAAAGCTTGTTCTCGAACACCATACAGCCAATGTGCATCATAGGGCAGCTCCATGAGTACATACCAACAGTGACAGCATCTGCACCATTGTGATTTGGGCATTGCACAGATATGCCAGGAAATACATGAAAGATGAGACGCCCAGCCAGTAACCGAAGCAGGTGCCAATGGCTGTGCCCATCAGCGTGCCTTCCCTCTGTGGAGACAGTGTTAGGATAAGGAGAACTCAAAGGAGTGACCTGGCAGCACCGAAATTAACCCCTGAGAGTCCCAGACCCTTTGCAGGTATTATCAAACGGCTGGCCAGCAGCATTCAGGGCACCACAGGACCTACACCCCAAGCACTCCCAGTGTCCAGAGTGTCAAGACTTTCTGGTATATCCTTCCTCCCACCCCCAAACCAACATCCTCAAATCAATTTGCTTTTCAGCAAGATGCTTATTCAGTTATAGAAGAGGTTTCCTCTCCTTTTCTAGTGTCACTACAGCAACCCAGAGCCCAGTCAAACCATTGCTTATCACTGAAACTCGACGTACAATGATGGTGTCTGAGGTCTTCATTCCATGCAGAAGAATGGCCACCAATGTGAAAACCAGCATGAGGGGTCCGTACAGCTCGCCTGCAATCTTCTACAGGAGGAGACAGGTAAGGGAAAGTTTGGTTAGAGCCCCTGAATATCAGGGTCTCCACCACAGGCAATGTAAGAAGTAAACTGGATGGAGTTTATCACCTAGGTTATTGCCTGAGGTTAGGTGACAGCACACTGAGGTTTGAAATAACCATGGAAAGGAGTCACCAACATTTTCAGAGAGAAGAACACCTAACAAACTCAGTCCTTAATAACATGGATTATTACAGTTTTACAAAGTGTCTGTGCAACAGTCACTTGCCCATGGAGTCTGATTCAGCAAAAGGGAACTCACCTGTGGGAAATTAATCATCTTCACAGGAATCATGGACTCCAGCAGTCTGCATCATAGAAAATAAGGGAATGACAACAGGAGCAGGAAGAACAACAGGACAGTTAACAAAATGCTTCACAGGTAAAAGATCCCATATACCCATTACCAGTATTTGCTGTTATGTTGACAGGCCTTGAGGGAGAGAGGATTCCTTCTAAAGGATCAGTCAAGGTCACTAAAGACAGAAAACCTTACTGTCGGGAGATTAACTTTACTGAGGGGAGGCAGAATCATTGAAAATATTTAGGGGTCCACTCAGGAAGGAGAGATCATTGAGGAGAGATCATTGACAGAACAGCAGGAAGGAAAGGTAACTCTCTTCATAAAGGCTCACAAAACTTTGCCTTGTTGGACACAACTGTGTTGCAAACCCAACAAAAGCCACATAAGGCAGTCAAGTATTAAAAGAGCCCGTTCTCCTGCCCTGAGCAGCAATGCCAGGTGACAGGGCCTTCAGCCCAACCATGGGACCTCACTAACGCGAGCGGGACAATGCACAGTGTGTTTGCCCATACGTGAGTCTTCCTGCAGGGCTGGCAGCCCACTCCTGCACTCCTGCATGCTGGCTCGGAGCTGACAGCCAGACTCCTGCAGGCACGGAGCCGCTGCCTCCCCGCACCGGGGCTGCCCACCTGGCTCGCACTTGGACGGGCTCCACATCGAAGTAGGGCCGGAGGATGTCGATGTTGGCGTAGAGGCTGAAGGCCCTGGAGGCTTGTCTCTTCCCCACTTGCCACATCTGCAGAGAGAAGGGATCGGGCAGCGGCCGAGCGGGCAGACAGAGACCATAGGGCCGGTGGCGGCCGGGCACAGCGCTCACCTGGTCAGCGACCTGCCGGCCCAGCTGCCCCCGCAGCCCCTTCATGCCCAGGAACTCTCCGTCCTCCTCCTCGCCGGTGCCCGCCTCGCCCTCCGCCTCCTCCTCCTCCTCCTCCTTCATGCGCTGGTGCATCTCCCCCATGTCCTCGAAGCTGGAGCCCGACGTGTCGTCCATGTTCTCCATGTCGATGACGGCAGAGCCGCCACTCTGCGCGGGGCAGACACGGTGTCAGCGCCCGCTCGGCCCGGCCCGGCCCGGCCCGGCCCGGCCTGGCCCCGCCGCCCCCGGCCCGGTCCCACCTGCATGTTGTCCTCGAAGCCGCCCCATTCGGCAGCGGGGGCACCGCTCCTGCCACCGCCCGCCGCCCCCGGCGCGGCCATAGCTCCCGTCCCGGCGCCGCCGCGCTGGCCCGGATGGGCGGGAGCCGGATGTGACGGCAGCCGTGGAGCAGCCCCTGGGGCCCGGGAGCGCCGCCCATCGCTCCCATGGCGGCCCGGCGGGGCACGGACGAGATGCGGGACCGCGTGGTGCTGGGCGAGTTCGGCGTCCGCAACGTGAGCCAGCCCGGCGGGGCGGGGCGGGGGGCGGCCGGCGTCCGCAGCCCCTCACGGCCCCGCGTGTGCCCTCTCCTCGCAGGTCCATACCACCGACTTCCCCGGGAACTACCCCGGATACGAGGACGCCTGGGACCAGCGGCGCTTCGAGGAGGTGGGTGAGCGGCGCCGGCGGCCGGGGCTGTCTGTGGGTGTGCGGGCTCTGCCGTGCGGCCGGTGTGACCCGCGGTGCGCGGCTCCCGCAGGCGTTCCGCGTGGATGTGATCCGTGAGGAAGAAGACACCCTGGAGTTCGACATGGTGGGCATCGACGCCGCCATCGCCAACGCCTTCCGCCGCATCCTGCTCGCCGAGGTACCGCCGCTCCGGGGGTGCTCGCCTGGGCTGCCGGCCTAAGACTTGCTTGACAGGGCGCGCAGAACGTCCAGCCTTGTGTCAGCGCTTGCGGACACCTGCGGGTGCTGGACGAGAAGCACATGCTCATTCCACACGTGTGCCAGGAGCCCAGAGAGAATTAGGGCTTTAGCAGCATGGGCGATACCGCCTGCCTGTCCTAGGAGTGCTGTTGGTAGCGTGTGCGGGTCAGCCTTTTCGACAGAGCTGTGCTGCCAACGCAACAGAAGCCGCATAATGCTGCCAAGTGCTAAATGGTTGAGGATGTCCCAAAGCCCTTTCTCCTGCCCTTCAGTTCTTGTGATTTATTAAGAAATGGGGATGGGAGTAGGTGGGGTATAAAAGTATATGGCATAGCCTGATTTGGCAGAAATACCACTCAAAATAGCCTGCATGGCAGTTATTTGTGGGAGAGGAGGGACACTTGAGCTGGATAATCTCTTGGCACTAGTTCAACTATTGTCTTAGGCTGACTTGATCTCTTGTTTCCCTGAGGTGCCAACGATGGCTGTAGAGAAGGTCTTTGTGTACAACAACACATCCATTGTGCAGGATGAAATTCTGGCTCATCGGTTAGGCCTCATCCCCATCCGAGCTGACCCTCGGCTCTTCGAGTACAGAAATCAAGGTGAGAGTTTTGGATAGAATAGAAATATTGAATGTTTCTCTCAAAGTAGGAAATCGGGGTTGTGTAAACTGAGCAGAAGTGTGATTACATATACTTCTTCCCAGGAGATCAGGAAGGCACCGAAATTGATACTCTGCAGTTTCAGCTGAAAATCAAATGCAAACGAAACCCTCAGGCTGCCAAGGAATCATCTGATCCTGATGAACTGTATTTTAATCATAAAGGTGAGATCTCTCCTAAAAGTAGGTGCTGTTTTTTTCTTTTTGGTCTTGGAAGACAGGACTTGGGCTGTTTTCTCAGCCCTATGTGTTCACAGGGAGAGTTGATTCCATTCTGCTAAACTTACTTTTTGCTATCTCCAGTCCTGTACAGGTGAGTGACGTGCTTTGAGGCAGCAGGTGGCTGATGCTTGTGGCTTCTCTTTGCAGTGTACAGTAAACACATGACGTGGGTGCCCTTGGGGAATCAGACAGACCTTTTTCCAGATGCTGACTTCCGACCTGTTCACGATGACATCCTCATTGCACTGTTGCGACCCGGACAGGAAATAGATGTCCTTATGCACTGTGTCAAGGGTATAGGTAGGTCATGGCTCCTGGGGCAGTGGGACAAGGAATGTCGAGTGCTTGGACTAGGGCACTGTGATGTGATGGGGAAGGGTGGAAAACTGGCTATCCCCCTGGAACTTTAGGCCCCAGCATCCTTGTTCCCTGAGGCCTGCTCTAACCCTTGACTCTTAACTCTTTATACAGGTAAGGATCATGCCAAGTTTTCTCCTGTGGCCACAGCCAGTTATCGACTGCTTCCTGACATCACTCTCCTGCAGCCTATTGAGGATGAGGCAGCTGAGACCTTGCAGAAGTGCTTTTCCCCTGGGGTCATTGAGATCCAGAATGTCAACGGTACGTTTTTCCTGCCCTATGTGCCTTGTTCCTTGCAAGCTTTAGTAGAGACTGATTGGAGGTTGGAGCCAAACTTTGCAGAGACAAAACCACTGTGATGTTGCCTTGTTGATCAGTGGTTCATGCTCTTCTGAGCCTGGTTCTATGGATGAGTGGCTGCAACGTGCAGATGTGTTGGGTGATGAACAGGGATGTTTCTGAAATGCAACCTGTCCACAGAGCTCTGCAGCTGCTGACTGCAGCTTCCAGTGCTGTTCAGTTGTGACACTGGGTAGTGAGCTTGCTCTTTCCAGCAGCTGAGTGTGGAGACTTCTCGTGTCCTTCGAGGGGTGCATGTAGGCTTCGTGTTTGGGTTCTTCTAGCAGGTTGGAGTTTCATGTTCAGTATACAGTAATTCTTGATATTGGTGTCTTCCCTGCCTTTGGTGAGGGGGGGAGTGCCTGTTTGAGGTAAGCATGTGCTGTGACCATAAGGCACCCACCTACTGCAATTTGCCCATCGCGTTTCATCTTCCCTTTAGGAAAAAAGGTGGCAAGAGTAGCCAATGCACGGCTGGACACATTCAGCAGAGAAGTTTTCCGACATGAGGGCCTGAAAAACCTTGTGCGCCTGGCGAGAGTACGGAACCATTACATCTGTAAGTGCCTGGTTTTCCAGAGTCCTGGCATGGTTTGTGTGAACAAGCAGTGACTGGCCAGCGTGTGTGGCTCTGTGCCTCTCCACTCTCAGCATCCGTATATTCAGAATGCAGTGGGTAGCTGCTTGCTTTGGGATTGAATCCGTTGGTGCTTCCTGCTGGCAAGGGTAGCTCCTTCTCTATCTGTGAAGATCTGGTTTGTTGCAGTGAGGTGTAAGGGAAGGTGAGGGACAGAAGCATGGAGCCAGGTGCATGAAGACTGAGGCTGCCTCATGGCTGTGCTGACTTGAGTTTGTGTCTCTGTGCAGTTTCAGTGGAGTCGACGGGTATCTTGCCTCCAGATGTGCTGGTGAGTGAAGCCATCAAGATCCTGATGGGAAAGTGTCAGCGCTTCCTCAATGAGCTGGACTCTGTGTCTATGGAGTGACCAGGCTGTAGCTGGGAAAGCCTGCTCTGCTGTTCTGGGCTTCCTGCTCCTCCTTCTGGGGGGGATTCCTCTTCCATAGGCATGAGGCTTGATAGGGGCTTGCTAAGAATCCAGGGACTATCTCTGTGGATTTTTCTGTTAGTAATGAGCCGCAGTAAGGAGATGCACTAAAATAAAGGCTTTTTTTTTTAAAGCTGTCTCCTGTGTCATTCACAATTTTTGAAACCATAATACATGGAGAAGAAAGTGGCAGCAGGTCTAAAGATGAGTAACAGCATTTTTTTTAGATGGTATGCAGTGAGTGAGGACTGACAGGGTAGTGTAGTAAAGCACTTCACAGCAGATCAGTGAGATTTAACGAGTTGGTATCAGAGCACGGCTGTTCTGCAGGTGTTTCAGACCAGCTCTGGGATAGTTAATATGGTAAAGGCTGTACTGTCAGAGGACTGGAACACCTCTCCTATGAAGAAATTGAGAGAGCTGGGATTGTTCAGCCTGGAGAATAAGAAAGCTCCAGGGAGACGCTATTCTGGCCTTTCAGTATCTAAAGGGAGCATGGAGAAAGACTTTACCAGGGTCTGTAGTGACAGGCTAAGGGCCAACAGTTTTGAACTGAAAGAAGGTAGACTTATATTGAACATTAGGTATTTTTTTTAAATGAGGGTGAAGGTAAGTTGTCACAGGCTGTCCACAGCTGTGAATGCCCCATCCCTGGAAGTGTTCAAGGCCAGGATAGATGGGGCATTGAGCAATGTGGTGGAGTGTTAAGGGTTGAAAATGTCTGGGAGTATTGCTGTGTCCCAGTTGCTGAAGTCAATCTACACTATAGTGCTAGACTTTAGCAAGTAAGTAAAATTAAAGTTCTGTTTCCTTGGGGTAGAATTAGACTGTAAACATCCTGTTAGGGTGCATATGTAGGGAGGAGGTACACTTGGCATCCTGGCTCCAACCCCAATCTATCCCATGCCATGCTGCAAAACCAGGCATATGCTGCATGTGCCTATCACACGTTCTATCTATCTATCTATCTATCTATCTATCTATCTATCTATCTATCTATCTATCTATCTATCTATCTATCTATCTATCCTATTGCTTCACATACTTATGGGACAGACCCATGTTGCTTTGACAACACATATCCCTCAAGCTGTAAGCCGGGACCTAGAATTAAAATAAACTAGCAGTGAGTGGCAAATAAATACTTGAAAAATACAATTTCCCCCTCACTGAATTAAACTATATAGTCTGGAATGGTTCATCTCCTTCCTGACAGTGTACTGACCACTAGCAAAGGTGCCCCTTTTTTGGTAGCTGGAATAAGGAATGCTGAGAAATCTCCAGGCAGGCAGTCTGGCCAGATCAGAGGCCTCAGATCTTACTGAAACAGATACAAGAATAAAAATGAAACATGACACCGTGTGTATGAAACTGGAATAGCTTTACTGACATTCAGGTGTAACACAACCAGTTCAGAGACAGCTTCGGATTTAAACATTCCTACAAAAAAGGTTTTAAATCCATTTTACAAAAACCCCTTGTGTCTAGCATGAAGTCACAGAATGTTAAAAATATCACAACACAATAAATACACCCAGCCTTTGCTAGAGCTGGGAGCCATGTTAGCTCAGAGGTTAAAAAAGTTTGAGGCTAGGAAGAAAAGTGGAGGGTGCTGGTGGAACAGCAGGGGCAGGAGGGTGAGTGGACGCCCAAGGCCTGCTCTTCCTATCTGCACTTCCACACCTCCCAACCCCAGCCTTTTTGTCCAGTCTGTCCATGTGGAGACACCACTTTTCCATCTACCACAATTTATTACTTGTTCTGTCTCCAGGATGGCAAAACTGCCAGCTAGCTCTGGACAGACCCTCCCAACTCTTGCACTAACTCTAGGGTAGATTGTGTAGTATTTGTCATGTAAGAAGAACCAGCTTTGCAGACTGGAGTGGCTTCATAAGAGTCCCACCACATCTAAAACCCAGCTTCTGACCTGGCTCCCCCCTGTAAACTGCAGTATAAAGCCCACCCCTCCTGCCCCATCATGCAATTCTCTGAGAAGTACCAGACTGGGTAAAAACAGGGGCTACTGTCACCTCCACTGCAACAGGGCGAGATCTCTTCTGGATTGCAGGTGTGTCAGGTATTGGTCCAGATTTTATTTACCCTGCGCTGGCCAAGTTCTAGTCTACAGGGCATTGTAAAATGAAAAAAAAAAAATTAAGAAAAAAAAAATGTCCTGCTCCCCCTGAGAGATGTCCAAGAAAGGCTGGCACAAAGTAAAAGCCTTCCATTTGGCTCTGGGTAGAACAAGCTGTATGATCGTATCTATACATACATATGTATATANCACTCTCATCACAGGTAATTTGGAGAGTTCTACCAGACAGCAATTCAGCCCACGTAAAATCTGAAGTATCTTATGACAGTGTCTGCCTCTTTCTAGAGAGCAGTTGCACCTTTGAAAGGCTGATCTCACAGGAGATCCTGGAGCACTGCTAGGCTTCCCGGCACGCAGCCTTCAGCCCAAGGCTCAGCATCCTGGAGGGAAACGGATTCAGCAGAATTCCAGTCCACTAGGGACAAGTGCTGATAAGCATGACAGGAGTGTCCAATGTGTTCCCTACAAAGCCTGGCTACTAGCACCCAGAGGAAGATTAGGGTAGCCCCTTTTCACATGGCACACTACTCTGCCTTTTGCATTAACCCTAAACCCCAAGGGATAAAGAGGTGGAGCAAGAGTGACCCGAGGCTACAAGATGATCAAGCTTTACCCTAATGAGGTCTATGGACTCAGCTCCCACCTTCCAGAGAAATAGAGGTCTAAAGATGCTCATCCAGTGGAGGGGAAGGAGTCAGGGGAAGAGCTTAATATTGACTGGCTCAAATGCCACCGCAGGCCCCATCCCAGTGTATGGAAGAGAAGGGGACAGGACCCGTAAGGGGCTTTATTCAGATGAATGCTTGTGGAGGCGGTGACAAGGAGAATCTAATGTGCTTACTATGAGGAGAGACAAATTATAAGGTAGGGGAGGAGATGGTTGCAGCATCCCAGGCTTAGGGTTCAAAGAGTACATTGAAGCCCTCTCCGTCCTCGTTTTCTAGCACATCTGTCTCCAATGATGGCTTCACCTTTTTGAAGAGAGATGGAAGGTTCCGGATATGAACCTCCTTGCGGAACTGCTCCCCAATGGGCTTCTGCAGAGGACAGACAGGCAGGCATCAGACATTACTGTCTTCATACCCCCACTCAGCTCAGGGGCAGCTTGCTTGCACATCAGAGGCAAACCCCAGGTTCTGAGCAATCCCTGAGCCTGGACCCTGTGCTTGCATTTTGAGGAATTTCAGGCCTGGCCTTTCCCAAGTGCGAGGGCATTGAGGTAACCTTCAGAATATGAGCTCCCCAGCTTCTAATTCAATGTCAAAGGCTCCACCATCACCATCCTCATAGAAGTCCAATGCCCATCCACCAGATTCAAACATTTTAACACCCTGTTTCCCTGGGCACCCCTGTGCAAAGTACCCACTGTCTCTCAATGAGAGGCCATTGCTGGAGGGGCTGCTCAGTCTGCTCCAGGACCTCCAGGGTGAAGAGAGGCAGAACAAACACTAAGAACATGCTGCAACAGCCTCCTGGCTGGGAAGGGAGGTGGCTGGTGAAAACAGGCAGGCCAGCCACGCCATCACTTTTGCAGCATACAGCTGTGAAATTTTCCTCCAGGATATCACTTACCCCAATGCAACCTGAGATGAGGCGCTTGAAGTGATCCTTCCGGCGCTTGTCTGCCACTTTCTGTAGTGTTGGGTTGAGAAGCTTTGAATCAAACTGCTCCAAAGAGTCCAGCTGGATGTCTGGGATCTGCTCCATCACTGCCTTCAGCTCACCATAGCGAGGCCGCTGCATGGAGAAGTACCATTAACACAGCTCTGCTAGAACAGCCTTGCCCTCCTTGGGGACCATTAACTCCTCTGCCCCTACCCACTGGGCATGGGATTAGTTTTCACCATTCCCCTCACATTCCTCAACCTCACATTTGGATGAAGAACAGAATTTCTCACCAAGGCCTCGTAGATCTGGAAAGCCAGGTGGACAAGAGCTGCCATGCACCCATCGTGCTGCCCATGTACCTGTAAGCCCTTCAGCACACTTGTGAAAAACCAGGACACAGCATCGGGAAGGAGGTTTCCTGGAAGCACCTGGGGAAGAAGCACTGTCAGCACTGAAGCAACATACTGGTACATAACCATCTTTCTACAACAGCTTGCTCTTCCGGAGGGAGAAGGTACCCAGGGGTGAAGCAGCCATGCTTCTCACAACATTCCGAACTTCCACTTCCAACACTACCAGAACTAATCTCTTCTTCCTCCCAGAGGTACCTGTTTGAGCAGTGGCCAGCAAAGCTGTGTTGTGGTTCTTTGGCAGGACAGGGTGTCCTTCCAGGATAAGGATGTGTAGGCAGTGATCAGCACTGCAGTGCAAACATCCTGAAAAGGAGTCAGAGAGGAAAACCAGTCAGAGAACTATTTCCTACCTCCAGCTTTCAAACCTGATGGGAGCCAAGAAGAAATCCAGAGAATCTGCAGGAGCTTCTGAGAATCCTGCATCTTACTGTTTGCTCCCATGGAAGGTGTTCACCTAGTGTGAACCATCATAACCATGAGGGACCAGTGTTAAGTTAATCTGCTCCCTTCATCTCTCTGGGAAAGACCCTGAAGCACTCAAGGACTCCCCTCAGCTCTTACTCTCAAGTCACTGCAGAAACTTCTACAAGAGCTTCAAGGCATCCACAGCAGAGAGTACAGAAATATTGGGGAAAAGGTACTCTGCACAATGGGTGGTATTAGCACTGTGGCTCCTGTACCACTTCAGGCAGATTTTACAGGAAAAAAAGGTACTGGGTAAAGTTCTTCCTAATGAAGACTGGGGCCCAAGATACAGGGAGAGCGAGGGAGCAAGGGAGGGGCTGAATGCCCAGAGCCTTTTCCCCAGAAGGGCTGAGGCTGTGTAGCTGTGTTTGTAACTGGATCCCAACCCCTATTTGCTTTGTGGCTTCTGCAAGGCTCTTAAAAGCCATGCATGTTCCCAAGAGGTGATTCCCAAATGGGAGACGCTCCAGCAGCCTAGATCTCTGCAGCAGTGTCTGGCTTCAGAGCAGACAAGTGTGACAAAGAGTACAGAGAAAGGATGGTGGCAGTCAGAGCACATGCTCTTACCTCTTGCTTCATCAGACACTTGCCGAGCTCGGTGAGCTCTGCATTGGCAGGGGGAGTCACCTCTGTGGCCATCGCCTCATCATCTGCAGAGCAAGACTGCATTGTGAACGTGACCTCCCAAGGACTGGGACACAAGGAGGGGGACAGAGGGAGGCTGCAAGGACTAAGCTGGGAGCCAGGAGACAGCACAAAGAATCAGTGTCCTGGTACAGCTATCCAGAACATCTCTTTTCAAGCAAAAAGCACCCACCCTATGTGGGGCAGGAGGGGCATGCAACTGGCTACCTTCAGCTCTTGGGAAACTGTTCAAATCCCCCTCTGCTCCTCAGCCCACTTCTCAGAACCTTAAGAACCAGCTACTCCAATATGCCACCTGTGAACCCTACAGCACATTAGTTTCCAGGCTAGACTGGGTTTTTCTGTGGCCCTCAGACATGCTGGGCAGGACAGAGCTGAAGGCTTTTACCCAATTTATACCCCTGATACAGAACTTCCAGCATCAGCCCAGCCTCACCCTCAAGAAACAGGAAAGGAACAGTATTTGTGTACACTAAGGGCAGGAAAGGCAAAGGTAGGCATTTACTTACCATCTCCATCTACAGCAGCAGTAGTGTTCTGTTCAACACCTTTCTTAGAAACACAGCAAACAGCTGCAAAAACAGTTGCAGGTCAGGGGAGCAGAAAAGGGAAGATCCTACTGCAGAACATGCAGAGATTATCCTACAGACTCTAATGGGTTCGCAGCTGCTTCAAGCTGCCCCAGATCTTACAGGGAATCTGAAGAATCAGAAAGCCCAGGATAAAAGCTCAATACTGCACTACCTGGAAGGCTGTAACACCCCACCCACCGCACCTTCCCACAGTGGAACCTGCTGCAGAGTAGTTGCTTCCTACGACTGAGAACCAGGAATATGCAAAACCATCTAAAGCCCATAACCCAAGAAGAACACTGATTTAAAGCAAAAAAAGGCGAGTCAAGAAAGGAGATAGAAGACTGAGATCTGTAATCCTTGTGGAATCAATTTCCCCAGCCTCTCTGAACAAAGCCATGCTGACACAAAAATTATGCTGGAGAAGGGGAACACAAGGGAGACTGCTTTGGGGGGAGGATTACATCTGGTTAGACAAAATTGCCAGCAACAAAACTGCTCTGCACTTGGCTTTTCCACAAATCCATGTCCCATATTGTGCTCCAAAGCATAGAATGAGAGAACCCAATTCCCTGTAGGACTAGATTCCTATAGGAACAGTCCCAAAACCATGGAGCCATAAAAGCTAACAAAAGGAAGAATCTCTCTTCTGAAGGTTTTGAATTATCTCTTACTAGGTTTTAGCTAAGATTTTGGCAGGGCTGTCTAACATCTGAGTTCTCATGGTTATGCTATACACTACTGACAGTTATAATTAAGTCTCACTGCACATTGGGAATTCCTATTGTCCTCTCCAGGGAAAACTTCCCAAATATCTCAGAAGACCTAGCATGATTTCACTTACTGGCGAGATCCATGACTTCTCGAGTCAGCAGCCTGACCAGCTGTTCCTCAAGCATCTCCTGAGACTCGGGGTTGTCATCTGCAGCATCATCCTCACTGAGAAGAACAGGTTTTAGTTTGACAGGAGCCAATGTCTTCAAGTACCCCCTCTGCCCAAATACAGGAAATGAGTCACCACTGTGTCTTCCAGCCCTCGCTGGCAAGGACTTTCCTGGGCAAAGGGCCATGTAAAAGACCAAATCTCCATCCCATTCCCCATTTCCCTCTTTGTACGAAGGAGTGGAAGCTTACCAGAGCATGCTTCGCTGGTTGATCACCTGCCATTTCTGGGACAACCTCTGTTCAAGACAAAAGGAAAGATTAAATCTGGACATAATGCAAGGAGACCCAAGCAATAGCTGCTGGCAGAAGCACAAGAGCTTTAAACACAGCTCTCACACCAAGACCTGTTTTGAACGGCAGGAGAACTGGTACCAAGTGTGTTGGAATGTGAATGAGCTGTCATGAAAATGACAGAACATTGGAAAAAAACCCCAAACATAAACCCAGAAAGTCTCAGGGCTGCAGGTTGAGGAGTTCATGTCCACAGGTTTGAACTCACAGCAAGGGGTGCAGGGCAACAGACCGAGTTTGATGCACTTTAAAGCACCCTCAAAACATCATCAAAACATTAAGCACCAAGGCTCTGCCCTTGTCTCTGCTGGCTTTGTAGAGATAGACATTCCCACATACTGCTGCCAGCTGCTACAGGGAGTCACGGCTGTCAAGGAACAGGCAATGAACAAGCTGTTTTCTTACCATGTGCAGATAGGTAAAGAGTGGTCCCAGCATGGGGCAGACGAGGGTTTCATAGTATTCTGAGGGGCAGGAAAGTACCAAGGGCTTCACAAACACACCTGCACAGACTAATTAAGGAAGAGATCCAACACATAAGGCCAGCTTCTAGAGAGACTGCAGCACAGTGCTCAAGCCCATTCCACTGGAGGCCAAGGGACAGACACCTGGAAGCCCACCTTCTCACAGCCCTGAATTAATAAGTGGCATCTCTATATAGCAAGAACATCAGTTATTCAGCTCTTTCCCCTGAAAGTTCAGCTGAGAAAGTTAGGGATGCTTAGCACCCATTTCCTAGATGCGAGACTGAATGTCCAGCCCTGGAAAGTAGGCTGGGAAACCCACATCATCTCCCAGAGATGCACATCTTCATGTCATGCTCCTCATTATCCAAGCCCCCTTGGCACTAGAAGGCACTACTCACTTCTCACAGTGCCTCCAGAACCACATGAATCCTCTCCATTTATTCTGACCCCATGCACTGCTCATTGTGTTCATGCCCTCCTAGGCTTACACCTCATCCACAACTGGTATATCCCTGTTTAACTCCTCAATCATTCTTCTTTTTCTTGGCCATGCTGAAAACAACACAGGGTTTAAATTTATGTCTTTAGGGCCTCCCAAGCTGGCCTGAGACAGTGATGGAAGGATACGGAGCATGGGACGCAGTCTGTAATCAGGAATGTTGTTGAGGTTGTTGAAAGCAGAGCTGAGGAGCTGGGTAGCAAGACCCTCAACAGTGTAGAAATCCTGTTGCATGGAGGGGCCTGCATTTCCCAGGATGTGAAAACTTCAACAAAAAACAAGTTAATTACAAGTCTGCTAGATAAGTACGTCTCTGATCTGCAAAGGCTACAAGTACTATCATCTTGAGACTACACAGTTGTCACATTCCTAAACAAATACTATAGAGGAATTTTAGCATAGTATCTCTTTTTTTTTCGGGGATACCTGCAGAGGGACAATGAATTAAGCATTTAAGCACGACAAGGTACTTTCAAGCACTGATGTACCCTGACACATAATTAGAACTGGCAAAAGAGACAAACTAGATCAGGATATCAGGTAAGCACTCCAATCTGATTACCTAACTGCAGAAGAGCTAAAAGCAGATCCCCATTTTGAGGTACCTTTTCCTGACCGTTCCATGTCTGTGTGGCAGGCTCCAACCACTGAATCTAGGCCACCACTGCAGCTTGTAGTTGGATATTACAGGGTACAGCTGACATCAGAAATCGAACTCTAAAGGAAGTCAGGACCCTACAATATCCTACTGCTCCAGCTGTGCAGTGCTGGATTGTGATGAGAGACATGGTGCTCTTACCAGTTGTCGTAGAGGGTACAAAAGAAGCCCTGCATCCTTTCTAAGACTGTTTTGTAAACAGGAGAGTCATAAAGTTCCAACAAAGGCTGAGGAAGACCTGTGGAAAGGAATAAGCTTCAGTTACATTAATGCTGCATTAATGGGAGAGCACGGTGCACCTTCATAGCATGCTGGGCAGGCCCCAGCCAGCTTGATGGCAGCAAGTCAGAGGTCAGCCAGGTTCAGGCTCGTTGCACCCAGAGCAGAGGTGTTTCCACTGAGGTTGTTGTAGCTGCCTTATTTTTCCAAAGTAGAACTTACTTGAGCTATCAGAACCTAGTCAGCAGCAAAGCTGACAGTTGTTGCAGCTCCTCTAATAGCTCATCCCTTCAGGTTTGTATTCTCTGCCAGGATACAAGCTACTGTCGAACTACAATATGAAAAAGTTTAGAGCAGAGATCAAGGCCCTGCTGCTTTCTGTGCAGGGGCTCACAGACAGAGTTTTTAAAGTCACAGAAAAGATGTAAAGGAAGCATGTCCTCATTTTATAGATAGGACATAAAGAAAGAAAGACAAAGCAATTTCCCCAAAATATTTCACTGTCTGTCAGAACCTGAAATTAAACTCCCATTTCCAAAGTCATGATCCACACCTTATCCTCATGGTCACCCGCTTCTACTTGGCTGGAAAGGCTTCTGTGTTCACAAGCTCAAACCTTTTTCAAGAAGGTTCTGAAGGCCTTTTTCTAATCTGCTGTCGAGAAACAAATGCCAGGGTCATACTGCACAACTTGGCTCTTGCCCTCCAGGACAGGTCTCTGCACCAGCACTTTGGGCTCCTGAGCACTAATTCTGCTCAAAGGCAGACAACTACGGCAACCTCCAGTCTCTGCAGTCTGAAATGCCATGTTGCAGAGACCACCACCATCCCGTAGATGGGATAAGCAGTTTGGTAACGTACCCATCAATGCATGCAGAAGAAACCAATGTGTCTGAGACCAATAACTTATTTAATGTCTTAGTTTCATCCAGTTCAAACCATAGCTGAACTGCAAATACTGTGAAGAAACTGGTTCTCCAGCCCTATTTCACTTCCATTGTTATGGACAGATAACTATGTAACTACATAGAACTCCAAAGATCTCTTAAGAATCTGCCCACACACTCCTCCTGAAGAGAAGCCTCTTACCTAGAATAGCATTCTTCTCCACCTCCAGCATGTCCAAGGCTTTTGCAAACGTATCCCCCAGCCTAGCCACCATCTCTGGCATGTAGAGGTTGTTGTGAGTCCTGAAACAGAAGAGCACTTGATTTATACTCGTGTAAGTCAACCCCTTTTCACTCTTGACAGTGGAATCCTCTCCTTCAGCTCGTGGACAGCTCTTCTGAGGCAGATGATGAGGAAGGTGAGACCATGCACATGTGCATGGGATCCCCCTTCCTCACCTGCAAAAATATTGGGGAAGCTGACCCAACAGAGACATGGAGTGACTCCATCTCATGTCCTGAATCTCCTGGCTGCCCCTTCCACTTATTTCAGTTCATCCCACCCCTTGCAAGCACCAGCAGTAAAATCTCCCAGCAATTCTCCAGATGATGCTGGGAACAACTTATTAGCTTGGCCAAAGGGATCAGAGAATGTATTTTTAAAATTGACAAGACACGGATTCTATAGTCTCTAAAGATCTTCTGCACCTAAGGCCCCTGCAGAAGGAGGGGCTGTTTCAGCTCCAAAATACACACACTGCCCCTCAGGGATGGGTCACAGTCCCCAGAATGGCAGGTGTCATTGGAGGGACTCTAGTGAGAACATCAGTCCGACCAGATGTTACTCATGGCAGTCACACATGCCCCCTGGACAACACATCCAGCTGGGAACAATTCCACATCATAGGAAGTGGCCACAGTCAGCTGTCTGCAAGAGACACCAATTCAGCCAAGGGTGGCTGGTTCTTGCTATCCAGGCCAAAATGGGTCCCCTCTCTTAGCCAGGGTACTGACACTCAGAGCTGGACACGGCAGGGGTGTCTCTCTCACCTACCTCTCTCCTTTGAGACCTCAGACCTCCACTCTGGGTGTCGCCAGCTGCACACAGCACAAATCCTGCAGCCTCCTCCAAAACTGCAATGCCATTGTACCTGCTGCTAGAGGTGATCAAGGGCAACTCAGTATCTCCCCCTCAAGCAGCGTTTCCCAAAGCAGGGGGTACATGGGAATGGCTGAGGGAAGGGAGGGTGGACAGACCTCAGGATGTTCTCCAGAGTCTCAGCTTTTACTCATGTATTAATTGTTTTTTGGGTTTGTTTTTTTTTAAGGTCTACGTTCTTAATTCTGGCAACCCTGATGCAGTGATGTCTGCTTGCATTTGCAGAAAGCTCCAAAACCGCAACTATCCTGTTTCTCTCTACAAGTGTTAAATACTTCCCTGCTCACTGCACATGAGGAAGGCAAGTATGTGAACTTCGTAAGAAAGAGCTACACAAATGAGTTAATGACTCATACTCTCATTCTGGGCTGGATCTAACACCATGCAACAGGCCTCAAAGGGGCACAAGCTGATTCTGCTTGGCCAAGAAGGGCTAGGGAGCAGTACAGCTTCCACACTGGTTAATGCTGCCCCACCTACTCAAAAAGCTGTACATTTCTGCTTGAGGCTATCCTGAAACCTAGCCGCTAAAATAATCTCTTGTATATCTCCTGCCCACTCCATACCAGTGTTGGCTTTGCCTCACACTGGGCAGAAGGCCAGTGGAGCAAATGCAGGGACTGTGGAATTGTAAAGTTGAGCCCTGGAATCCCACTGCACTAACTCCAGGAGGACAGGCAGTCATATCCTGAAGGCATGGTCATGGTACTTAGTTGTTTCAGAGTTCTTGAAGCATTTTCTTAAGTCTGAGAGCTGGGAGGCAGATGTTCACTTACAGGGCAAGCTCTTGTAATACTTTAGCAAGTTCCCAGTGGGAATGGAGAGAAAATAGCCAACCACCCACTCCCAATGGGAGTTAAAAAGGCATCCAATAGTGCTCATGTATGATAATGTAGCCTCTAGGCATGTTCCAGCTGAGACTTATCAGCACTCCTGGGCACCCCACACACAGGAAAACAGTAAAACTAATTTCAAGAGACATTTATGCTTTAGAGAAGACAAACAAAGGATATGGCAGGACTTGGGGGATTTTCAGTGATGGTCACAGCTCTGCTAGAAAGAGTATCTGATGCCTAGAGAGAACAGCTTGTAAACCAGAAGATGAGTCCTTTGGGACAGTCCCTGATGGAAGGATTTTTCCAAAGCTGGAGCTGCCTACAATGAAAATGCCTACAGCATCCATGTCTACCTAAGAATTCTTTCATCAGCATTAATGCTTTGGCAATGTCAGCATCTCGTCATCAGGAGTTCCAAAAAAACCTTTGTCTAAGCAAAGCATTTGCTGAGCCTGAGCACTTAATTTGTAACAAAACAAGAGCAAATCCCAGCACAGTAAAGGCTCTGCATCAATCAGGTCATGCAGCTACTGACTGCAGAAATGCACCACGGTGGCTGAAAATCATGATTTGGGTTTAAATTCGGGAGTGAACATTTTAAGCCAGAAGCTAGAAAACACCTAAATGAAATGAGGTACCACAGAGGACAGGAGAATCATTACTCTGAAAACTGCAAGCAATGATCAATAAAGGAACCTCAAAATAATTCATTAAATACAGCTACCAACACAGAGACAAATACAGGTAGAGAGATACAATAAAACTACCTTGTTTTTCCATTACCTGGACTACTTCATTCTTCCCAGTTGTTTGACCTCACCCACGACCTACCTTCAAGCTACTTCCACCCTGGCAAAGGCTCAATGGCTTAACAGCTTCACTGCTTCTGTCTGCTAACACAGCAGCAGAATGCCACATGCTATCCAGAGCAGCAGACCCACCTGCTGGGCCTGAAACCCACCCCGCTTGGTTAGCACACTGGTGCTCAGTTCAGCTGCTCAGCAGGATCCATGCTACTGCTGCCTGTGGAGCTGCTCACACAGAAACCAACACAGCCTGCACGGACTTCCCACATGAGCACGTGGGCAACACTGGATGTTGCTTGTCTCTACAGAGAGCTGCCTAATGGCACAGATCTAAGAGAAGCATCCAACCCCAGGCAGTAATGCAACTATGTCCCCGAAGGCATCCTAAACACAAGCAGCTTTCCTGCCAGGCAGCCTTCCTCATATCCCCATAACTCCTGCCTGCTGACAGGCAGCTACAGATTCTATATTCTCCTCTGTGATCCACATTAAAGAGAGCTTGAGGAAGACATACTTGGAAAAGGCACCTGAAGTCAGCAAAGAACACAACAGGAGCTCCATAGCACAAGATCCAGCTTTGCCAAAAAGACATAAGCATCATCACCAACACTTGCACTGAACAATTACGAGCTTGCAGTTGTCAAACAGAGGCCTATATATTCAGCAGCAGCAATGGAAAAATATGAAGCATAAAGATCTACTGTTCTTAACACATCATTCATTCGTTCTTGTTGGAGCATCCAGCCTTAAGAAAAGCCCAGATATCTCTGAGTCAAGTACAGGTTTCTCCATGTATGTTACTACCATATACACAGAAAATATTTCTTCAGGTGAGATGCCTGAACAACACAGATGCATTATGTCAAAAAAAAAACCCCAAACCAGCCATGGAGCCTCTTCCTTTATATACTGGATTGAGAACATAGCTCTTGTCTTCTCTTCGAGGTAGTAAACAGCCAGGCACAGAGCTTCTGCTTCTTCACAGAAGTGATGTAGTGACAGAAGTTGGATGACATTTTCCTAAGCTTGTTTTAACAGAGATCCCAAGTGATTTTACTAAGGCACAAGTTCTGATAGGAACAGTGACTGCACGAGGAAAGTGTCTGTTGAAGCCTGTTCAGACCTTGGGCACTGGTTTAGTGCCCAATAGGATCAATAGGATCTTCAGTCGTCCAGGATAAAAGGCAAAAAGACTTCAAGCACAGTTCTGTAAGTCTACCTGGTCACTGGCCAATGTACCACACGCTGCGCTACACAGAGTTTAGTGATGAGAAACACTGCCAGCGTGAGCCAAGACAACATGTGCTTGTCCCAAGAGTCCAGAATGTTGCTTCTTTCTGGAAGCAGCACATTCCTGAGCTCAGTGAGTACTAAACATACTTGACTAGACAGAGCTCAGTAACATGGCTCCTTCTCTTACAAACTCAGGAGCTGAAAAATCTAAGTGGATCTGAAAATGCTCTTTCTCTAAAGGCCCCTGCCAAGGACAGAGCATCAAGTTTTCAAGCACGTAACATGTTATCTCACAAAACTTCCCCTAAGTCCGGCAAAATCCCAGTGTTAGGAGTTACCCTGAAAGAGACTTCTCCTTTACAACTCTGGGAACTGTGTTATTCAGGATTTCCCTTTCCTGCCTTCTCTTGCTCCCTCCCTTGGCTGCCCCAGATCTACACAACACTGACACGCAGAGAGGCACTGCATGGTAGCAACAGCCTGAGAGTATGCATCCACTGATTTCAAGAGCAGACAGTGCTTCAGGAGGCTGCTGCTCATGTTCAGCAAAGCCAGCTTAATTTAACACTGAAGAGAGAACAAGGCGAACAGGATGCGATGAGAGCTGGGACTGCCCTGGTGGTGACGGGAGAGGTGGCCTTGTAGGGGCTGAGGGCAGAGCAGAGATGTTAGTTGAGAAATCATTAACTGGGTGGCAGAACCATAGCACTGGAGGTGGGGGAGGCAACCCCAGAACAAGCTCCCATGAGCTTTGATGGCCTCTTGCAGGCCAGGCCAATGAACATTTAGAAGGCTCCCAGTTTCCCCAATACCATTCCCCACTGTGAACAGTCAGGAACAGTACTTGGGCACTGGCTCCAGCCTGTATTCCCACTGGCTTCACTGGGCAAACATGCTCTGAGCATTCCATGTATTTATCACAGTTTGGCTTTCAGAGATAAGTAAGTCAACATAAATGATTTCAAGTCAACTTGACCCACCTTATGAGTGCAAGTAAATTGTCAAAAAGCTTCAGGACCTGCTCGGTGCAGGGATTACGGTACATTGGAGTTCCACTGGGCAGGTATCCCAAAAAGAATCCTCCAGCTTTTGCCTCTTCAGTAGCAGCAGGCCAACGAGCTCGTTTCACAACTCCGAGAATGGTGTACACGCAAAAGCTTATCTGCAGCAAGAGATATGGAGAAAGCATTTCTTAGCCAGATCACAGTCTGAAATCAACAGGTTCTCAGAGAAACACGTCATCATCCCATCTCAAAGGGAATGTTCTACAGTGAGCCTAACCTGGTGATAGGAAGAAACTCTGGTGAGTTTGCTGCCAGGAAAATGCAGCAAATGATCACGCTCTATTCCATTAACTTCAGAGAGCCCTGGCCGTGGCAGAATGGCCTAGGAATTCACTATCAGACAAAGCATCAATGCATACCATCTCAACAGCATGCAAGCAGCCAGGTAGGCTGCTAAAAGTAAGGGTCTAGACCATCAGTTCCTCACATCCTTCATGTGCTGGGACAGATGCAGGATCTGAGACGACACAACTGCATTAGCCCCAAATCACAAGCACATCTCTGTGGACTGCATTTCAGTTTCTTCTACAGATCTAAGGACAGCAACTGTGCTTGGCAGTCCAAGTAAAGACTTTACACCAACAACTCAGCACAAATCTTCTCAGATTAATTTTAATTATATTCTGTGCTCCAGCCTGAGCACGGTGTTTTCCATACTGCCTTGTTTAAAAAGCACAATTCACGGTGCCATATTTCCAAAAATCATGTAAATCAATTGCTTCTCCAAAACCAAACTCTGTGAAACAAAGAGTAGGAAATAGTGTGCTTTACTCCAATAAATAATGTGGTTTTGTATGTCCTGCATGCTCTTTATTGTAGCTTAAAGAGCAAAGGCCAGCCTGTTATTCTGCAACATGTAAAACCTATTGATCCACATTCTAAAGAAGTGTATGATCAGGAGACCTCGTGTGTTATCACAAGAGAAATAGGGATGGAAGGAGGCAGGTCTCCTTTCACTAATGATTACACCTCTCCTGGCAATGATACTCACTCTAGACCGGTTCAGGCCACTAGGATCTTCCAAAACCGGATCAGCAATTTTGTTGTCTGCACCCACGTAGGATATAAAGGCTTCAGGATCTGAGAGGACTCTGGCAGTAGCAAAAACCAGCAACGGGATTACTGTTTGTACCAGGAAATTTCAGCAGAGCTCTGCACTGGCAATAAACATCTAACAAATACAGAGCAGGCTAAAGAGGCTAGTAGTACTCCATCCTGTATATGGGAATGATTAAAAAGCATCAGAGTTATGTACACTCCCCAAATATTATCAGTTCTCTTGGGCTGTGGCGACCTAAAAGATTAAAATCTCTTATGAACCTAGTCCTACTGAGAAAACTCTTGTGCATGCCCAGCTACACAGAGCTACAACATATCTCAGCTTTAATAACAACTCAGCTTCCTACCTTCTCCTGGGGATGAGCAAGGATGTCTTCAATTTCTCGTTTTACTATTATCACAACGACTGCCCACAGCACAGGAGGTCAAGAGGCAGCCCACCATCCTCCTATGGCTTGTGTGTTTCCTTACTGGGCATGGCATTACCTCCTCAACACCTCCAGCTCAAAGTTGGAGAAGAAATGACCAATAGAAAGAAAAATAATCCATACCTCTGCATCTCTGGGGAGAGCCATAAGCCAGCCACAGGAGCCATGAGCTCCTCCAGGAAAGCCTTCTGTCGCTCATAGTCCTTAAACTGATTGCTGATGAGGACCAGGGCCTCCATAAGAGCACACTTCTCCATCTGCGTCAGAAGTAGCTCATTTGACAGCAGCTGTTTCACGTGGTTGTACAACATCTCAAAGTTTGGCTAGAAAACACATCCAAGTGGAAAAGCATCATGCATTTGGTACGGAGAAGGGTCACTGGGGGAGGTAGAGAAGGGATGGACTGTACAGCTGGAGAAGCATTTCTGTTACCTTTTCTCAACATAGCCATCTCCTCCTCACACTCAAGTTTCTCTGCATATTCAGTCTAAGACAACTTCTATTCTTCTCTCTATCATTATCCTGCATTCATTTCACTTTAACTCTACAGAATGACTGAAATAAGAAATCTCTCCCTAGGCAGTTATATCCATTAAAGCAGTATCACACCTCAAAGCAGTTCTGGTGCTTTGATTTGCCCACAGAAACCACCTTGGTTCTTTGGCCAGACTTAGGATTCTACCATCTCTTTGCTTGTGGTAAGTAACAATTCATATGGTTATGATGAGTGCCACAGGAATTCTTGCATTTCTTCCCTTCCTTCTCCAGTTGCCACTACATCTATCCATAATTTTGTACAAGCATTAGCAATCATGCCCTTCTTTGAAGTCCTCTTTGGGGGCAGCTCTGGGTCCTCGGCTCTTCTAGTGAGGATGTCTGGCTGGCCATGGGCAAAAGACAGCTATAGCTCAAGGACCAATAAAGTGCAACAAAAATCAACCCATTAGCTCTTAGCATCAATTGCAGAATGCAAACTGGAACCTCCAAATTACCTAAATTAACATCCTTTAAAAATATCATTGTTTAAACTAGCAATGTGCTATAGTCCTCCCATAATCCTAGCTCCCGTTCCACAGAAACACATCTAAAGAATGTTGCACGCAGAGACTGTTTACTTCAGCAAAACAGATAAAACATAGCTCATGGAATTTAAATGTGTTTGTCTTCTAATCTCCTCAAGCTCATCCAGAAAACAAATACTCTCCTTTTCCTCCTATATTCTGTTAAGTAACAGAAGAAAAACTAGTGATTAGCTATGATAGTGTCTTCAGCTAAGGAATCAACTGAGACCAGCACAGGTGATAACATGGACATTCAACAAACATTCCCATAAAACCAATGCAGTGCTTGTATCCTTCTCCTCATCCCTCTTACATTTAACCCACCAATCTACAATTCAACTCCTTAGGCAGAAAATTTTTCAGCGGGGAAGAAAGAGGTACAGGGAATGAACAACTTTGCCATTTGTGCAGCAGGAATGTTTCCTGCAAGGAAAGCAGAGACTGTAGCCAAGGAAGCTGAAGATCCCACAAAATCCAACTGTAACTGAGGCAAGACTCTTCATGACAGTTGCATTCACATACCAGGACAAGCTGAGGGTAATCCCGGCACATCTTTATGATTGAGGAACACGCATGCCTTCTCACATTCTTCACTGCTCGAGTTCTAGGAGCCTGGACAGACACAACAAACTTCAATGAAGCAAAACAAAAGTTCAGCCAAACGCAGGGTTATCTTCAAGAGACAAATTCATTATATAGAGATTCCTGCACTGTTGAGCACAGATCAAAAGAACATTTCCATGCCTCCCTTGCTCTCTCCAATCAATCATGCAGCAACCAGATTTCCTCTGAAGCAGCAGTCAACTCAAGAAGTCCACGTTCAAACAAGCTGTACTTCACGAGCGAGGATGCCATGACTCTTATTCACTATTTCAAGACTCCAAACACTCGTTAAGTGACTTGTGGGTTTACAGCCATCTTTCAGAGCCATGTATATCAAGTACTGAAAGAATGCCCAGAACTACTGAAGGGATTTCATTCTCACGAAGGCCAGCACTGAGTGGGGAACTAAGTGTACTGGCCTTAGAGCACACCTGTGGCCTTCTAAGCTTGTGAGCCAAATCTTAGTAGGCTATGTCAACCGCAGAGATCAGCAATACCTAGACTCCCCAGATTTCCAGGAGCAGAACTATACTTGAGAAGCCTACTTCAGCAGAGTCTTCAGACTCAGGATGCTCTCTCCACTAGAATATGATTTGATCCAACTGTTATAGCTCATTAGTAGATAATAATTCAGACGTACCTTACTTTCTTCTACAACTTCAAAGGTAACTGAAGCAAATAGCTGTGAGAAAAGGGAGGAAAAATCAAAAAACTCATATCATTTATTAATACTTAGCACTCACATCTGTTTGAGCTCAAGGAACAGGTAATAAAGATTTTAGTGCAATTTCACTGAAGTCAGTGAAAAATCCCTGAGTGAGCTGAAAGGTGAATCGTCCATACTGTGAAGCCTTGAAATGAAACATGGCCAGAGCATGCACTTAATACTAAGAACTACAAAATTTGGGTTAATTGACATTACTGTTCTTGTGACAAGCCTCAGTCACAGTTTCTCCCAACTTTAACATGAAGCATAGTCATTTCCTGACAGCAACACCAAGAGGATTGACTCCTGCAGTTTAGTCCAAGAGTCCTGCACCACAAAGAGCTGATATAATTTTAGCAGGGTCTGCACATACCTACCTTGGAAAGTACTTGTGGGAGGTATTCTGGTCGGTAAGTAACAAATGGAAAGAGAGCAGAGACATTGGTGAGCACACAGGACAGGATGAGAGGATCTTTTGTTTCAAAATTAAGGACAAGCTGCAGCAGATCTATGCCATCATTCACTGGGATTTCCTACAAAGGTAGGAAAAAAAAAAGAAGAAAAAGGGAGGCAACACTCAATACTTCAACCTGTAGTATACTTCCTACAAAACCCAGGAAAAAAGCTGAGGCAAAAAGGACAGCAGCATCACCAGTGTTGATAGGGCAGTCTTGAGACATCAATTTCTAGTCCCTATAATATTGCTTGCACCTCTGGGAAAGGCAAATTTCCTCTCTCAGTCTGTCACCCAATTCTCTTGACACCGTCCAACAGATTCCATGCTTAATCAGCTGTATTGACCCATATAATTATTCTACTGTGATTAGACTGATGAGTGCATGAGCAGCTTAATCTAATTAAAAAAAAAAATCAAGTCAGTCTATATCAAACTGATCCTTCTGATTTTCCTGCCGTTTAACAAAAGACAGAGAGAAAATGCTTCTGATCTCCTACTCTCTGGGTATAGTTCCTCTTATTTAGCTAGAAGTTTAAAATTTAAAAAAAAAAAATCTAATCAGAGGATAATTAAATAAAATTTTCCTTAAGCAATCTCTTCTCTAGAAAAGCACTATGTAAAAGCATGTCACCTGAGCGCTCTCCTGCGACTTCTCATCCCATACTGTCACTCCTCATCCCATAGCATCCAAAATTAAGACACGCCACTATGAGTTTGGTGTCATCAAAAGAAGGGTCATTATTCCTCATGAGAATGGCTCGGCAAACAATCTGGGTTTTGTGTGGAGGTAAGCAGTTACTAAAAACTGCTCAAGGATAACATAACTGCAAAAACCCACTGGTATGGACCCGGAAGAAGCCAGAAGAGAAGGCAGGAACATGGGATACACATACATCTTTATCCATGGTTCGAAACATCTGGCTGATGACACTCTCCGAGAAGAAGGTCATGGCATCCCACTGCACAAAGGATGGAGAGAAGATGGAGCAGAGACCTTCGCCTGTCTTAGCTGAAAGGAAGAGAACACTGGAGCTCTCACCATGCTCCTCAACAGCAGCCTGGTAAGTTCCTGTGCTAGAACACCTTAACATTCACAAGTATTTTAAGCACACAGCTCTCCCTGCCTGGCGGGAATGCACTGGGAACAATTAACGTAATCCCGTGTGATTTGCTTCATTCAAGTGAAGGCTCCTGAGACATAAGTCTTTGAGGTACTGTGCAGAGCTATATGAACAAATCAGAGAAGGGAAAAGAAGGCAGACCACATGCCCAGACTCTGTACTGCAGGCAACACTGTCCTCAGTGTGACTTTGCAGAGCACCAAGCAGCCTTCTTCCACAGCAGGGAATGCAAAGTGAATGACAAGGGATTTGCCAGATATGCGAAATTTCCCTAACAAAAGTAATCAATAAGTTACAAAGATAAAATAGCCCAAATAATTGTAAAATTGCATCAGAGGGACAGCTGTACCTCTTCTGCAGAAAGATTTGGGGGAAGGAAAGGAGGAGCCAGGGGCTTTACTTATTCCATAAGCAGACTCCAAAGGGCTAAATTAGGGAAGAAGCGGTTTTGACTTGGTTTTGCTTTTAACTTGTAAAAACTTTAAAAGCCTAAAAATCTAGCACAGAGTCTTAGCTACCATTTAAAAAACTCCAACAAAAAAAAGGCCAAGAAGTTTCTTCTTGGCTTTAATTTAAAAATAAAACCCATATCCCTAATTTTTTTCAGGTAACCTACAGTTCATGGGTCCAGTATCAACAGGAGCTGTGAGCTGGTACTTCAGCCATTCACCAGCCATTTGGAAGCCAGTTAGAGGGTCCAGACGACAAGCCATTCTCATCACTTCTCCTTGCTGGGCTCGGAAAGCTGCAGGGAAAAATCACACACCAAGAAACCAGCTGATGCTGCAAATTTTGCAGACCCATTAACATTATGAACTTTTGCTTTGGCAATAGCTGTGTAGCCGGCACAAGTACACAAACAGTAAAGCATGTACAACAGGATGGGCAATTTTTGAAGTGATTTAAGCGGACTAAGAAATAACAGACTAACATTAAAAAAAGTACAACTAAAATGCAGTATGAATTATGAAAATCTATGCTGATGCCTTTTCCTGGTCTTAAAAATTGAGAGCCAGACACAGTTAAGGGATAAGAGATTTTTACCTTGGTAAGGTAAAAGGTGATGCAATGCACCTTGGTGAAGTGGTACACCAATGAAGACCCTTATTAAAACACCAAAATAAAAACCTCTTATCCTGTAACTGTGTATGGCTCTCAATTTTTTAAGACGAGGAAAAGGCATCAGTGTTAAGCCAGATTTACTACAATTAAGCCTCTATTCTTCACGTAAATGTTCGAACTATAAACATTTGCTGCTTACAGAACATCTTGGGATAGAGAGATAAAACACCGTATTAGATAACTGCAACTTCCTTTACCTAAACACACTTTTCCTAGATTGTTCAACTAATCACAAATTTGAAGTCAAAACCCAGTTGCCTTGTTTTCAATTTCAAAGATACTAAAAACAAAGTACAGAACAGGAATTTCACTTGTTCCAAAATATTCCAGTGCATGACCACACAAAAGAATCAGCTCTGCTGACTGCACAAATGCAATTTGCACTGTTTAATAAAGTTGTGTTGCCAAGTAATTTTATTTTGTGTTTCAAATTAGTTATATTTTCTTATATATGTAAGGTCTTCAATATGACTTAACCCTCTAAAACTATTTCAGATTCTGGTTTTGTGCATTTAGCTTCTTTATAGTTTCTACCCAAATGGATTTATTGCAGTAAGTAAAACTAGTAAGTGATAAAAATTGCAATACTTAAAATCTTCAGACATAAATGTAAGAACTAAAAATTTATGTAATTTATTCAATGTATCCTCCCACCCACCAAATTAGTACCAAACCACACCAGCCAGTGAGAACCAACCTCAGTTTTGGGAAGAAAAATACAAACTGAAAGAAAAAGTAAAATCGTTAATATCCAATGCTGGTTTAAGATCCCAGTTAAATTTGGCTATTTGAATTGCTCAACTTTAGTTGTTGATATTAAACCAGAAGCTACCTACCAGGGCCAAGACAGATTTTCTTTCTGGAATGGCATCTAAAGTCTTTTGTAAGCTGCCTTCCTCTCCTAACCTGAGCATGACTTGAGGCTGTTTGATTTTCTCCTCTAGGTGACCAAAAGAGACATTTGCCTTGACACTAGAATGCTATTAGGCCATCTATCTGACAGCCACCAAAACAATTGCAAATAGTAAAATTAAACACGAGCTGCCCCAGGAAAATCCTAACTTAATTTACTCCAAGATCCAGATTAAAAAAGTTAAGAAACAAATGGAATATGAAATGCAACAAATGAAACTAAAGCTGCTGAGCCAATTTGGTAGCTTGGCCAGTGACTAAAAGCAGGAAGGCAGGCACAGACAACAGAAAGCATAAAGGGTCATGGCAACTTACAGTTGAAGAAGGCATTGAAATCCTCGTCACTGTCAAAATCAAAACGGGAGTATTCACAGCTGGGGCTGTCTGCTTTGGAAGGAAAGCCCACCTGGAGAAAGAGTGGAAAAGGTCAGGAAGAAGGAGAAGTTGCCCATCACAGCTAACACGAGCTTTAATGAGATGAAGGCTGGAGACATGATTAAGATACCCCTGTGTGTTCAGCAGCTTGGAGATCATGTCTGGCCACGACATTACAAAAATGTAGTTTCTTCCCCTATGACCCACAGGCCATATTCACCAGGCACTTTCTCACAACCAACAGTGATTTACACATACCTTCACTAGGTTGGTCATAGACGCACGGAGATACTTGGGAACAACAGCCAGTAACAAAGGGTCATGAGACAGAACTTCATGCCGAAAGAGGGCTCCCCATGTGATCTGGGTAGAAGAGCGCAGAAACTGGGGGAAGAAGATAGAAAAGAGAGGAACACAGGAGGATTTCAGTGCTGGAATTTCCACTGCTAACATTAAGTGCTGCTATCAGAAAGAAACAGCAAATTATACTGACTATTAAGATGAGGCCAAGGCACCTTGAAGGCACACCTCAAATTCCCAGAAAGTCAAAAATCCCTAATACTAGGGCTAGTTGCAAATTCTGCATTTTCTACTCAGTTCTCTGTGTGCTCCTGATGGGGTGGTAATGGAGTAGAAAACTCTCTGCCTTCCAGGCCTTCAGCTGAAATGGAGATCCTAGAGAGCAATATTTAGCAGCTGAAGTTCTGCAGTTTTCTACAGGCTAGCTCAATTATGCATTCACACACACAGACACACGTGAGACTTTCAGCCCTTTACATACCTGGCTGGGATGGGTTGTGAAGGCTAAAAATGACTCAAGGTATTTTCCAAAGTTGGCTGGCGTTTCCACATCACAATCTGAGCCCTATGAGGAACATGAAGTATTTCAGACAAAATACTAACTTTATGGCAGGCTGGGCTCACAAATGGTATGTTTCAGGGTAAAGCAGGAGCACTACATCCAAGGCCATAGACTGTAAAGGAGCAGAGACAGAAACACTGAACAACTGATTTTTTTCTCATACCAGTATAGCCCAAGGAGCATCACGTTCTGTTGACTAGCTTGAAGGTGCTAGAGACACCACCACCCTCATTCAAGAGCAAAGGGTGACTTCTCACATAATGAAGTTGTATTAATACCAAATTCACAACCACTGCTGCTACCATGAGTCACAATTTTACTCCTGCATGGGTCAAACCCATGCAGCAGTACCAAAGTAGTGCAATTCAAACTGAATAATTTCACAAGAAAATACACCCAGATAATTTCACTCAATTTCTCCAAATATTTTGTGTATTTAACATATGAGTATCCACAACCAGTAAATTCCTTGGAAGTTTGTCAGGAAATTAAGTTTTACCAGAAGCCATAAATTCAAGGTTCTGCTGCTTCTCAGAAATTATAACATGACCTGGTGCCCCCAAGATCCTTGAATTGTACAGCTCAGTGCTGCCTCTCCCAAGTGACTCTGAATTAGCAAGCTCCATCTCATTACTTCATTATGGATTAACAGCTACTGCCTAAAAGCAAGTGGAGTCACTGCAAGCAGAAATGTACCCTGTATACTGTCCATTCTTCTTAAGGATGAATTCTCAAAGGTTGTTTTTGGCTTTTTCTTTCCTTCCCTGAGAGACTTTACTTTGCTCTATCACTTTTACAGGCTGGTTGCTTCAATCTCCCCACAAACAGCATCTCTCAACAAATCTGCCCTCTTTATTGTAGAAGCACTGAGCTGAATGGAGGGAGTGAGAATTCAGCACCAGTATGGCATGAACAGTATGAATTTGCATCTTCATCTCAATATTGACACAGAGCATTACAAAGATGAACAGCAGGAACAAAACCCATTCCTTCCTTCAACTTGAGTCTTGGTAGAAGAACAGCCAGGTATACTCTCTGAGTTATTTTTATTAGGAAATTTAAAAGGCTTCCAATAGAAGAGTAATTTCCCGGATGAGATTTTCTGTAGCAGTAGTCAACTAAAAACCTGACCAATTTTCAGTGAAGCTCAGCATTTTACAGAGGTTACAGGAAATGGTTCGTGATGACAGCAAAGCCCTGGCATCAGCCGGGGTCCCTCCAGTCTACATTCCTATGACTTGGCAGGATACAGTTAACCCACTTAAAAGCAGAACCATTTCTGCCTTTTGGAAACGCATGGAGAGAACCCTACAGCTGCCAAATGTGCAGCCCTACCTTAGATCAGGGTTGCCTCAAGCCCCAGCCCTAAACACTAGCCCTGCCAGGGTTGCTGCTGGTATTAATAAAGACTTACTAGCAACGCACATAGCTGGCTGCCCAATGCGCACAAAACTTGGCAAAGTCTCTTCAAGAACACATAGTGCTTCTCCACCAGGCCTTCTCCATCTGCTGTCCTGGGAACGAGGGAAAAACAGGATCACAGTTACTCAGGCTGTAGCTGACAGGCACACTGCTGTCTATCTTGTAGATAAAAAGAGGACTAGAGGAATTTGACTTTATTGCAGTGGGATTTTCTTTGCTATTATCAAGAAGTACTGCTTTATTGGCATCTAAAACCACTGAAATTGGCTCTTTGAAAGATTCCCTCTTCCTGATCAGTTTCAGGCTAAAACGGAAAGCCAGGGAAGCTGTGATATTTACACCTCATTGTCTTTAAATTATGGGTTTTGAAAAAAAAACCCTGGTTTTCCAGGTTTTGCAAAAGAAATGGTGGTTTTGTTCTCTCCCCTCCAGTTCCTGCTTCCTTTGCTTAAGCAGCAGTATCTTTTACACCTACAAAGCCATTTGTATGCATTTTTATGTGAAATCACAGCAGCACCACAGTACTCACTGGGCAGCAGAGAGGATGCAGTGCATGGCAACGTCTCCAAACAAGACCATCAGAGGCTTCCGGTCCTCCAGCTTACCCTACGCACAAAACACATCACATGCCTCAATTTTAACGTAACTATTTATTCCCATCTACATAAATGTTTATTACTGTCTGCAAGCAAAATTAGGAGAGTCACCGTTTTCTTTACATCTGGGGAGGGGCTTAGAGTCTGCATAAGATTTAAGTAAAAACTTGTCAAAATTCCAAGGTACCTGATCTAAAAAAAAATTCTCCAAGCAATCCCATCACAGGAACTTTAAATAACAAAACTGACCCTGAGGCATTATCTTTTATTCACAGAAGACTGGCTAGTTACTTACAGGCAGCTGATAACCACTCAGGCGCCTGTGAATGAATGGGTCAAATCACCTGTTTAGATCCTGCTGTCACTTCTCTGAGCTGCCAGGTGACACAGCTGATGACACTATTTTCCACTTCACAGTTCTAGGAAGTGGGGGATAAAAGGTCAGTGAGGACCTCTAAGTTCAAACTGCAAGGAGAAGCAAGTACAATTTGGAGAGGGCTCCAATGGCTGCTCTATGCATTGTGCTGGCCTGACATTCACACCAAATATCATTAACAGAATCAGCTAAATTTGATTCTCAGATAAAAGGCCAAAGATAGCATTGCTCAGTTCAAAGAATTATATAGGAGAATAGGAGAAAAATAAAAGAGAGCCAGAAGAGCCGGGGAGGAAGAACTCACTTTCCTGCTGACAGCAATCAGGAGACACTCTGCTGCTCCAACTTGAAGTTCAGGCTCATTTAGGAGGAGACACAACATCTCCAAGAGCTTGCAGTTGTCTGCTGTAATATGGCTTAGGGCTACCCAGTCAATGTAGCCAGCCAAAGTGTTGAGTGCCGCTATCCCCACACGACAGTTTGCCTGAGCCTGTGAACAGAGAGGAGGCATGAGGTCAGAGCCATAGAAAAACACCAATTCCCATCTAGAGCAATCAACTCCTTGAAATAACAGTACCAAGAACCCTGCTGAGAAAGTGAGAGATTTGGACCCTTCTGCTGCCACTCCTCACTTGTCTTTTCTCAAGTGTTTGTATTAAGAGTGAACAAATCCATCTGAATGAAACTGCAGGCAAGAGACTCGAAAGCCTAGGAAAAGCCTAGTTCTAAGTAACCTTCATCTTAAGAATTACTAATGAGCTAACTCCCATATAGCTCTACTCACCTTTGGTTCCTGAGCCAAATCAGTCTTCTGTAAAAGAAAACAAGAGAGGGTAAGTGAACAGCTACAGCACACACTTCCACCCAGCCACTACTGGAAAGGCTTATCCTCAAGGACACAGCCAAAAAAGAGGCTACATCAGTCTCCCATTTAGGACATTGCTGAAGCCAACAAAGTCACCTCTGCAGCCCCCAACCAGGTAAGACAACAGGACTCTGAATTGCCAAGTTAAGCCACAATTCCCTTCTCATCCAAAAGGTAACATTCCAGTCAAGAGGCACCAGGGAGACACAGGTGACAAGAAGGAAAGGCATTTTGGTACATCCTGGAGGCTTCCAGGAAATAAGCTTTTGACCTTTTAAGAGCATCTTACACCCAAAAGCCGAAAAGATGCTGGTGGCTTTTAAGATTCAGGTCTGAAAGGGTGATTTGTCAACAGTCAGCAAGGCAGCTGGAGACAGCTGAAGCACCAACTTACAGCCTGACTCCCAGGCCTAGGACACTTAACAGCAACAATGCACTACCTGTACCATCCTTTTGCAAACAAGTCCCACAGATACTCAGGTTTGATTTGTTTGCAGATGCAAAGACACCACAAGCATTTCTTTCTACTGCAAGGTTTTGGTTTGGACTATTCATTGCAGTGATTTAAGTTAATCAGCTTGAGCCCCAAACATTTCATATATGACCCATCTTATAAACATGTTTATCTATTAACCCATCATAATTATAAGCACTGCATGTCATAATGGGCTTGGGGACCTGTCCATCATCTCCCCCAGTCTGTGTGCAGACAGATGAACACCCAACCCTCAGTAATGAACCTGTGCACGAATAGCCCAAATATCTGCTAACCTGTGGAGTGGTAAGGACTTCTTGTTCCTGGGGTGCTCCAACCTTGCCAATCAGAAAGATTCCACCGTTAGCGGAAGCAGCCACACTTCAGAGCCTCAAGCATTGCAATGCAAACCTTACCTGGAAATGCATTTCAACCAGACTACGAAACACACAAGGATCACCCTCCCACCACCATGAACTGCACAGAAAACTGGCTGCTCTACAGACGGGGTTGCTCACCCTGACAGTGCATCAGGAAGGTGTACAGAAGTCAGGTAGAAAAAGGGTTTTTCATTGGTTCCCAGTTTCACATTTAGTATTAACTCTGGATTTTAATTCGTGAAAAAAAATAATACGAGATATGACTAAGCAACTAGTTTCTAGTTTGGTTTTTCAGCTCTGCTTCACTCTCAAATCCACTTCCTTTTCACAGTAATAGACTGAGGTAGAGACTTCCCTCCATCATCCACTGTGACTGACAATGTCACTGCACATCTCTGATTCTAGGTAAGAATTCAGAAAAGAAGTTTGTTTACACAAAAATAGAAGAGCATTCTTCACTACAACTTCGCAAAAAAAAGCCTTCCTGACTTGAGCTCTTGGAGAAAAGGACCAGAGGCCCAGAAGCATGTTGAGACATCGGAAATTCATGCATTTTGGTGCATCACCTCAAATGTAGCACTGCAACGTGAGAGAGCAGACACGATTCCTGGATGGTAACTCTTAATCACTGTGTGTTACATAAACCACCCCAAATTACCTGTTTCTGCCACAACCACACCTTCACTTTGCTAAGCTGTACACCCATGGTGCCAGCACGCATTCCAACAGTATGGATGAAGCACACAGCTACTCAAGCCATCTACACTAGCAAAATCAAAGTATCAACACTAACACTATCAGCCTTGTGTGTTCAGTCTCTCTGATCAGCATCAGCTTCCCAGGCCATAGCAGATCCCTGCCTCAGAGTGGCAGCAACAGATTCAGTTTCTGTACTTGCTTCCCCAACAATTTGCGAGCTGCATCCCAATTCCTAAATGCCTCCAGCATAGAGTAAACCCAAGGGAAGGAGACTCTTACCATGCATCTGTACTTGTTGACGTTCTGCTGCAGGGCAGTTAGTAGGAAGCTGAAGATCTTTTCCATGTTCTGGGTGAGGGTTTGCTGGATATCTCGTCGCCGCTGAGTAGGCAGAGTTTGAAAAGTCACCACATCCTCTGCCAAACGTAGGAGGATGAACATCACCAGTTCTGTCTGAGTTTCCTGATGTTCCAAAGTGAAACACACTCCGTCAGCACAGTCCAAACATTAAAATTTCTAGCGACTAGCTCAAAGATGTGGAGAGAAAGCAAGCATGCATGAAGATACAGGTCACACGTTGAGAAAATAAAACAGCAGGATGGCCTTCTTTCTGCCAAAGTCATCTCAGGATAACTTAATCTTACAAGGCTTTTGAGTCCATCACCAACCTGTCTCACTTGACCATGAGTGAGTTAGATTTTCCTCAGGATAATGGAAGACTGAACCCCATACTAAGAGCAAACAAAAGAGGCCAGACAGCTGTGTTTCATACCCCTTGCTTGGAGAGGGTATCCAACTCCTTTAGCATGTCAGGCCAGTGCTGAGGCCATTCCCGCTTGATCATCTCCACGACAATGCGAGACAGTACGTCCTTAATGTGACTTTCCTCCTCCAGGATACTTTGAGTTCCCTGTGACAGAAAAGGGACAGTTATACAAAACAGCAAGCATCAGGCATTTATAACTCTGACCTGAGAAACACAGTGTTTGCAAACATTCGAGACCACTAAAACCAAAATAAAACACTCTTCATTGCAGCTACCTTAGATGACACTCCTATGCTCCCAAGCATCCATAGCTAATAAACTCTGGGAACCAGAAGGATTCTCCACAAAAGAAGGTCACTTGGTCACGAGAGCAATCACAACAATAGAAAAAACACGACCAAGATAATGGCTTTAGCATTTTTGCAAAGTATAAGAACGTCCATAGCTAGTGAATTTCCTCTTAAGGAAAGAAGAAGTATCTTATATATGTTATACAAGCCTCACAACCTCCTGCCATGTGAAGTAACATAGCTATTGACCTGAATAAGCACTAAAACAATCAGAGACGCAAAGCAAAAAAGCAATGAAATGCACAACTGCATTCAGATCCTGTATGCTAATTAGTTGGAGTATTTTTTCGTTTTGCTCTCACATTTCAGAGAACAGCCTGAGGGAGCAGGTACTTACACTGGATATGAGGCCCATAACATTGTTCTTTAGATAAACTTTTTCTAGGCGAGGCATATTGTTCCAGCGGTACCTGTTAAAAATAAACAAACAAAAAGGAAACCGAGTCAAAACATTCGTGAAGGTCTCTGACTTGATCCTCAAGGAACCACTGCTTCTTTACCTAAGCTAGACACACTACAACTCCCTGCCTCTGCCAGCACCCAATCCCTTAAAAAGGCTGAGTTAAAACTGCTGCTGGCAAATGGGTGTGCCCCACTGAGGTCAACGGACACCAGAAGCAGCAGCAAAACACAAAGCATCAGGTCTGTAGAGGCGGCAGAGAAAGGAATCTCAGAACTGAACTAATACAAAGCCTCTTTGTTAGCAGGAGGCCAATGACACAACACTGCAAAGACCTACTGGTAACCCAGTGTGCTTATTTTCATCTTGTGATGTCAACGTGTCTTACAGCTCAGTGAATTCACCTTCGCAACCTGCCTGAAAGCAATTCTCTCCTCTCTTTCTTTTATGGAAAAATAAAAAAATTCAGAGCAGGACTGCAACTGTCCTCTGCTGCAGAACAAACTCCCTGCGTCCTGAAAGTGCCTCCCTAGGGCACGAGGTGCCTGAACAGGCACAGATCCCTGGGTAGCGGCAGGCCGGGACCCTTCTCTGGCCCGGCGGCACGGAACGAGCTGACTTACTTGACCACATGCTCCAGGATCTGCAGGCCGAAGTGCCGGACGATGGCCGTCTGCGTCTTCTCCGCCAGCTTCAGCCCGCAGGGCACGCAGATGGGGCACTTCTCCTTGAACTCCTCGCAGAACTAGGGGAGGGAAGGCCGGGACGCGTACGCGCAGTTACACACCGGGAGAGGAGATGGCAGCCCCATCCCTGGCGGAGCACGCCGGGGGACACGCGGCCGCCCGACCCCCGCCACCTGCTGACGGCTTCTAGCGCCTCAGGGGACGCCCGGGACCGGCCCGCCAGGCTCTCGCCCGTCCGGGCCGTGTGGACGGGGCACCCGCGTGGCCGGAGCCCGGCGCCCTCCCTCCCTCCGTCCCTCTCTCCCTCCCTCCCCGGCCGGGCGGTACCTTGAGGGCCTCCAGGCGGTACCGCTGCGTGGACGCCGGGTCCATGATGACGGTCACCGCCTTCACCAGCTGCTCGCAGAGGCCGCTCACCTGCTCGGCGGACATGGCGGCAGCGGCGGACGCGCGCCACCGGCCACGCACGGGAGGGACGAGCGCGGCAGCCGGGACACAGCTCCGCGCATGCGCCTCGGGGGCCACGGGGAGAACGCGGGCGCCGCGCACCGTCGCGGCGGGAACACGCGCACACCCCTCCACATCCTGGAGAACTACGACTCCCGGCGTGCCCCGCGCGGAAAGTACGGGTGCCGCAAAGCGGCGGGCCAAGGCGGGGCTCTCCGCCCCACCGAGCGAGCGGTTATTCAATCATTCACTTAGTCGGGCGGGAGCCGGTGGCGGCGGCGGGATGTCGCGGGGCCGGGAGCGTGTGGTGGCCCTGGTAGACATGGACTGCTTCTTCATGCAGGTGGAGCAGCGCCTCGACCCGCAGCTGCGCGGCCGCCCTTGCGCCGTGGTGCAGTACAGCGAGTGGCAAGGCGGCGGGTAGGTAGGCGAGCCGGCTTGGCGACCCCGGCTCCTCGTCCCACCCCGCTCCCCGCGGGGCCGGGCCCGCCCTGCACTTCACCTCCGTGTCTTGGCAGGGTCATCGCGGTGAGCTACGAGGCGCGCGCCTTCGGCGTGTCCCGCGGGATGTGGGCGTCGGAGGCGCGGGCGCTGTGCCCCGAGCTGGCGCTGGCCCGGGTGCCGCAGGCGCGGGGCAAGGCGGATCTCACACGGTGAGAGCGGGGGCCAGGGGAGGCGGCGGCGGCGTGGGCCTCCCTGGTGTCGCGGGGCGGCGGCTGAGCCCGTGCCTGCCGCCTGGCAGGTACCGGGAGGCCAGCGCCGAGGTGATGCAGGTGCTGTCGCGCTTCGCCGCCATCGAGCGCGCGAGCATTGACGAGGCGTACCTGGACCTGACGGACAGCGCGCGCCACCGGCTGCGCGAGCTGCGCGGGCGCCCCCTGCCGGCCGCGCTGCTGCCCAGCACCTTCGTGCAGGGACTGCCCGGAGAGCCCGGCCCCGATCCCGGCGGGAAGGGTCCGCACCGAGCTGATCCCGGCGGGAAGGGTACGCACCGACCCCCGCTCCCCGGGAAGGGCCCACCCTGCCTGCTTTGTCTCCGCTGAATCGCGAGCGTGGTAAATGGGGTCTGTGTTTTCCGCAGTGAATGGCTTTTAGGGTGTCTGCTACTCCTCCCTGTGGCTGGAACGCGCTTACGGAAGCCTACGGCTGCTGGCTGGGACTGGCTGATGCTGCGGGTCCCCTTGCTGGGCTTAGCAAGAAGTACCATATCGTGTGCCCTTGTGATCGCTTTTGTGTTCCTTTTCTAGAGGAGCTGCGGCAACGTGGTTTGGACGAGTGGCTGGCGTCGCTGTCTTTCGATAACCCCGATTGTCCTGACCTGCAGCTGACCATGGGCGCAGTAATTGTGGAAGAAATTAGGGTGGCAGTGGAAGCAGCTACCGGATTCAGGTGTTCAGCTGGCATCTCGCATAACAAGGTATGTGCATAGCACATCAGCCTGATTTCTTCTGGGTAGCAGTGTCAGAACATGCTGTATATGCTCTCCTGTACTTATAAGTTTCCCGTAGAAGATGAACCAAGTTGGGAATGCAGTCATGCGTGATCACACCTTCAGAGAAATTTTAAGATATCTGGAAATAGGGGGAGTTGTTTCCCCAGAGCTGGGGCCTGGACAGCTAGCAATCCACTCATTTACTGCCTGGATTCTTCATGTACCCTAATGAGCTAGCTCACTAGGAATAAAAGGGGCTTAAGTCCTCCAGAAGTGTTTTCTGTAGAAAAAAACACAAGCATAAAGCAGGTAATCTTCACTTTGAGTTTCAGGCAAGAGCCACTGTAGCTAGTTTTACTGACACAAATTCCGAGTGACTCGGCAGCAGAACACCAGATTGGGGCACCGAGGTGAGCTGGGTTGCTTTTTGGTGAATCAGTGTTTACCCTGCTGGCCATGGGGATTCGGGTGCTGCTCAGCCAGCTGCTGAGAGCAGCTACAGGAGCTCTTGATGCATGACAGCAGCTGCAGGAACAAACGGACTTTGATGCTGCAGCTACAGAGGGTTTCCTGCTGGGTGAAAGGCAGGGTGGTTTACTGAGAGCACCCCTTTTGTTCTGCAGACAAGGGGCTTATTTATACAGGTATGACTTTATAAAGGCAAGCTGTAACATAAAAAAAAAAAAAAAAAAGAAAATGAAGACTAAATTGATGCTTTGGAGTTTAAAAAGATACATTTTATTTTAGACTTCTGCAGAAACAGTTGATACTACTGCCAGCTGTACACAGGGACTGGGACTGGTTTTGCACTGGCTCAGTTTGAAGCTAGAAGAGACTGTGAGGCAGAAATGAGCTAGCTGAGGAAGGTCACTGGTTTAGGCATTTCCAATGGAAGGTATGTTAAATTTGCCTGTCTGCTTTCTTTAATCAAGAATAATGGAGAACTTCCCTGATATTCCTAGCAGTTTCTCCCAGCTTCCATTTTCTATGCCAGCATTTTTTTTTTTTGAGAGAGTAAAGACACTGTGAGGTACTGTGCTATCCTTGAAGAACTGTGTATCTGTAGCAGCAAGCACAGTGCAGAGATCACCACAGCACGCTTGTGGCTGTATAGAACACTATGCTGTGCTTCCACAGGCAGCTCACCTCGGTGGGTACAAACCTTTTCTGCAGAATAGAAGGGGTGCTCTCAGTAAACCACCCTGCCTTTCACCCGGCAGGAAACCCTCTGTAGCTGCAGCATCAAAGTCCGTTTGTTCCTGCAGCTGATGTCATGCACCATGCACCAAGTGCTCCTGTGGCTGCTCTCAGCAGCTGGCTGAGCAGCACCCGAATCCCCACGGTCAGCAGGGTAAACACTGACTCACCAGAAAGACAAAAAGCAACCCAGCTCACCTCAGTGTCCCAGTCTGGTGTTTTTCTGCCTCCGAGTCGCTGGGATTTGTGCAACAGTCTCTGTAGCCTGAAACTCAAGGTTAAGTTTACCTGCTTTATGCTTGTGGTTTTTTCTACAGAAAACACTCCCAAGGAACTGCTTGGTACAATGAAGTACCTTCTTAGAGTACACCAGGAACCCAGATGAGGAATGAGACCAAAAAACCTGGAGGATAACAGCATGATTTTCTCAAGAACTACTCATGTCAATTTATGTGCCCTCTTTGACATAAGTGCATTAAGTGGCCAAATGTGCAGGAAAGACTACAGATGTGAGGTGTGTTAAGGTTTCTAACACACCTCAGCCTGAGCTGAATAACCTGATGATGACACTGTAGCAGACAACATGATTGAAGTTGTCTGAAGGGCATACATCTAGCTAAAGAAAATATTACCGTTTCCCATAATGATTTTGTTCAGTGAGTTGCACTCAAATTGGGATGTTTAGAGTGGGATCCTGAGGGATCTGTCCAAGGTCTGCTAAGAACAAGTATTTTCATTGAAGCCTACAGAGAGGGAACAGCTATATGAATTCAGGTGTTGCACAGATGGGGCTCAGGGCCTAGGCTGTGAAAGTTCTGAGATGAAATTAGAGTTGAAAATTCTGAGCTTGAAAAAGCTTAGAATCAATCTGAAATCACCAAACAATGCTTCTTATGCTCACTGACTGTTTTTGTGGTTTATAGAAAAAAAGCAACCAGCAGTATTTTGGCTAAGTTACAGTAAATCAGGAAGTAGCCTGGAGTAGTTGTGGACAAGCATCAGGATGAGTCAGTAATATAATTGCTCTTGTAGAAACGCCAAATCCTGTTTCAGCATGTGCAATTTACAGAAGGTGTCAGAAAAAGTAAATGATTTCTCCCCATGAAGTCTCAGGGATTGGTTTGGCTTGCAGCACGTCACTTTATGAGGTGGGTAAACTTGGAAGTCTCCAGCCAGACAAGAAAAACAGTGATTGGACATCTGAAAAAGGATCTTTGTCTAGAAACGAGTTCAAATGTATGTAAGCCTGTAAAATGAATGGGCTGTTAATAAAGGTCACAGCTCAATAGGCAGGCAAGAAATTTTGCTTAGTTACAGGATGTACGGCAAAGCAGTGAAAGAGGAAGTTATTAGAGTTGTTAAATAAAACCTCAAACACCTAGCTAAACGTAGTTCAAACGGGTCTGTGTATTTTTGACCCTGTGGTAGCTTAGAATGGGAAGGGAAGTTGTATAGGAGAGCATGCCTTCCAGGCTAGCAATTCTGCATTTCAGAAGTTTCCTTTTGCAGCATTATGCTGCTGCAGACTTCACAGAGAGAAGGTTAAAGTAGTGACATGGAGAAAAAGCAAGACAAACAGAAAATTAAGGAAAAAGACATAGTGAGAAACATAGCCTGTGGAGGACTGTGAACGTGTTGTGGAAGCTCTAGCATTCTTGCCTGATGGAAAACTATAGTAACCACAACAGGTGATAGATCTTTATCTGCCTGGAGTAGGAGTCCAGCAATTCACAGAACTAAAGCCTGGAAGCAGCTTTCTTTTCAGAGTACCCAGCTAGTGCATGTCAAATCAGGAGGTGGATACTGCATAAGAAGAAGCAGTGGTGCACCCTGCACACATTCCTAGCAGCTATTCTGAAGGCAGCTCTTAGAGGTGATGCAGCACAAGTGTTGGGTGGAGTCACATTAGGCCAGTGCACGGTGTATAATAACTGAGTTTCCACCCTCTTCTGTGTTACAGACACTGGCCAAACTGGCCTGTGGGTTGAACAAGCCCAACCGCCAGACACTGGTGTCTGCACGATTTGTGCCGCAGCTCTTCAGCCAACTGCCCGTCAGCAGCATGTAAGTACCAGGGAGCTGCTGCTTTAGTGCAGCCTGGGGCTGCTCCTGGCCGCCTCAGCACAGCAATTTGATGCTCACTGATAGCAACCAGCAGAAGCCAGCAGAGGCTCTCAGCTCCACAGTAACTGCTCCTAACAAATAGAGGGAATCCTGCCAGTGATCCCTTGTGGCTGTGAGTGACAGTTCAGGGGCAGTGTGCCTGGGAAGTTGCAACCCTGCTGCTTAAGGGACCACAATCCAAAAGCCCACTAGCAGCCTGTGGGCATCCTTTCCCAGGGTAAGGCTGTGCTAA